TGCGAGGAAACACTACGGTGGGTGGCTGGTCCTCAAAGTCGGAAGGTGGGCTGCGAACAGCCTTGGCCATGATGTGGATGTGGGAGTGGAGCGTCCCCATGAACCGCATTATCAGTATCAAGAGCTGCTGCGTTGCTTTCGCCTTCATGTCCATCATGTGGAATCGTACGAGGTCGATTCGGATGACTAATAAATACGTAAAAATCCTCGGACCAATAACACCGAACGTGCTTGCTTGATATCAAAAGTAAGGTAACTGGAAGCTCACTGATTAACAAAGGTCCCTTTGCAGCTCCTTGCATAAAAGTGCGCACAGATATTTTGAGCTGCAACTTCACACCGGGTACTACAAAAGACTTCAAGGGTGACTGTGGTTCACCAAACAACGGGTACTACAAAAGACTTTAAGAGTTGACCAATTAGCTGGATTAAGACGGGTCTTTAGCGCAGCTTCATCTGATAAGTCACACAACAATCTCAGACCATAAGAGCGATATATATCACAATTAGTAGAAGATATATTCTGTGACTACATATTTTGACCGGCACGAGCGTTTTCTGGGAATAGCTCTAGCAAAATCAAAGCATCTATCGGAAACAAGTCTTGTAACAGAAGAACATTGATAAATCGGACATAGTAAGAGAATGGAACAACTCTCGGTAACTGAAGAATTGATAAATTGGACATTGTAAGTGATAGGGAACAACTCTCTCCACCAGATAAAGCTATGAATCGAACATTGTAAGTGATAGGGAACAATTTTCTCTACCGGATAAAGCGATAAATCAAACATTGTAAGTGATAGGAAACAACTCTTTCTACCGGATAAAGCTATGAATCAAACATTGTAAATGATTAGGAACAACTCTCTTTACCGGATAAAGCGATAAATGGAACATTGTAAGTGATATGGAACAACTCTCTCTACCGGATAAAGTGATGAATGGAATATTGTAAGTGATATGGAACAAATCTCTCTACCGGATAAAGTGATGAATCGGACATTGTAAGTGATGACAACCATTTGAGCGGGACAGGATATGTGCATATGATGGATGTGAACTGCTCCAAAGGTTTGAGCGCACCTACTGGATTCTCCAAGTAACTCAGCTGAATTGCTACTGCAGCAATTACATTGCATCGCATTAGCATTCACAAGATTGTTAGAAGATTTAAAATACAAACACCACACATGCTTCATAAAAAACGAATTCTCTATTTCAACTCATTTGATCCAATTGTGCAGAAGATTATCAACTACTTACTGCAAGAGTATCTATTTCGTAGAGCAAATTTCTTGATAGTTTTTTGATGTTTGGATTGACAGAATGACAATGCAACTCAAAAGAACCTTGTTTATATACTCTGAAGTTTCATTTAGTGAACATTTCTATTTTGTCTTGTACAAAATTAGATTAGATTAGATTTCAAGAGAAAATACTTTTGACTTCATGTTTACTTTTTATTGGTTTGACTAAATGATGAACTTTCATTGGTTTGACTAAGTAATGAACTTTCATTGGTTTGACTAAGTCTAATGTTTAATTTAGTGGTAAATGGAAGTTCTAGAAGTTGAAAAGGTACAAATGACATTTCGCCATCTCAATCTAAAGATTAATAAACATCTATAAGGTTTATAAGTCCGGTGACATATTGCCACGTATTGATAACTAGTCAAACTTACTATGATTTATCTTTCTAAAAGTAAGTTAGATAAGAATTGCCATTTGTTACTATGGGAAATTCTCAAGTAATATATATAGAAAGGTAGAAAAGAGACTTTCAAGCAAGTTTGGATAGTTCATGTTTAGATGCTTGTTTCATATATATAAGAGTGACAATTTTCAGTATATTGGAATGTCGATGTGTGTGTGTGAATTGAAGTGATACCTTGAGAGATTGTATGAGAGAGTGTTTGGAATATGAGTATGAAGAGTAACTAATCTTCTTAAACCATGATGAGTTACCGCAAAACCATCTGAGTTAACCTGAGTGAGAGTCAGTCTGGAGGTTGTAGCGCCTGTTACAGCTCTGCGTGACGGCCAAGGTCAATAGGTTACAGATCGTGAGGACCTGGAACAACAAATTGTAGAATAATACCAAAATCTCTACTCGGCCGAAGCACGAGGCATCAATAGTCAGTATATTAGATGGCATCCAACCAACCTTCCGGAGTCGGTTCTCTGCCAAAGACTTGGACGCGTTGGACACTCCGCCCACCGTCCAAGAGCTGCACATGGTTATCAAAGCGATGACGTTGGGCAAGAGCTTCGGCCCAAACAGGGTCGTTGTTGAATTTTACAAGCACTTCTGGGGTCTGATCAAAAAAGACTTCATTTGTATGGTTACCACTGCAATCAATAATCAAATACTTCCATCTGACATGAATTCGGGGTTGATCGTGCTCTTTCCTAAAAACATTGATCTTGAGATGTTTAAGAACTGACGCCCCCTGACACCCTATTTGTACATCATAGTGGCGGAGGCGCTGTTAACAGCAACACAATACAAAGTCCGGCAAGGCAACTTGAAGGAAATTTGACTGTCAGACCCCAATGTCCAAAAGAATTTAATGCAGTACGCAGACGACGCCAACTTCTTGTTGTTTAGAGCCTAGAGGTACCTTGCGGCTGACTTTGATCTCCTCAAAGACTTCGGCAATGCTTCAGGTTTGATCATCAATGGTCAAAAGTGTGCGATATTTTGATATATTAGAATGAATGTCCAAAAGAATTTAATGCAGTACGCAGACGACGCCAACTTCTTGTTGTTTAGAGCCTAGAGGTACCTTACGGCTGACTTTGATCTCCTCAAAGACTTCGGCAATGCTTCAGGTTTGATCATCAATGGTCAAAAGTGTGCGATATTTTGATATATTAGAAATGACTCTCCTCACTGGCTCCACTCCTTTGGATGCATCGTGGCTCCTCCACAAGATCTCCACAAGCTACTAGGAACTCCATTTAGACCAGACTTAGCGGTGCTTGACATTGATGAGTTTCTCTTTGGCAAAATTTTGAAGAAGCTGAAGGACTTGTCTTCATCACATCTTTCATCAGTAGCTACGGCAGTAATAGTCAACTTAGTGCTACTATCTACATTGTGGTGATTTTTGAGTATTTGAGAAGTCTCCAAGAAGATTTTACGAGCCATTCGTGCCGCACTCCGTAACTTTCTATCAAAGGGTACAGAAGAGCGCGTCAGATTGCGTGTAAGGTGAAATAATTGCTGCACAAGCAAGGAAGTTGAATGATTAGGCATTGTCGGTCCAGATGAGATCCTCATCGCCCTTGTAGGAAAATGGATTGCGAAGGCAATGGAGCCGGGCAACTCCTCATTGCAGGTGCTCGTTCGTAACCACCTGATACAAGTCCAGCCACCTCGAAATTGAGCCTGGCCACCAAGCCTTCAGGTTAACTATGGCGTTCACAACCTCATGCTAGAGACGTTTTGACAGTCTGCTTCAAATGAGACGTAATCCGTCATAACTCTCCACCTTCCTGACTCTACTAAAAGTTCATTTGTAGAATTTGTTCTATTTACAACCAGAACATCCATGTTGGATCTCTGCTATTCACTTGAAGGTCTCATCACAATTGGAAAGAATATGTTCGATGTCGATCTCACATTCGATCCCATATGCATTTAAAAGTGGTAGTGAGTATTATCGCAAAAAGCACATAACTCCATCAAGTGTGTACATGGATAAAGCAAGCAGGAAGTTTGGGTCTAGCCCAAATTACATGACAATGGGACTAAGATTTGCCAACTATCCGATGACAGTGACTACCTACAACTACCATCTAATCGTTTACGATGCTATTAGATTGGAGATGAAAAAAAGCTTTCAGTCGATCCAAAATCGCTCTTCTATAACTGAATGTTTGTTCATACTTTTTTTAGGCCTTTTTATATTGTGCAATTATTATATTCATAGTGCCAATTTCTGAAGATTACCTTCTAATTGGTTTTATTTCTCCAATATTTCTTCTGGATTTTTTTTTTACTAAAATGAAGACTAGCAAAGCATGAGACATTCTACTATTCGACCAATTTAAATAAAGTATTAACCAAAACTATTTATATCTCCACAAGTATTAATTAGAAGAACTATAAAAATATTATTCAATTTATGAATCATGATAAAAAACTCCAAAATGAAATTTTTTTAGTAAATAAGAAGTTATCACACTTGATGGAAATGAATTCGACATGGCATTAGATCCATCATCTTTCTATGTTGATTTCAAATTTTTTAAACTAACTTGCATACATTTTTCCTAAATCTTTTATTTCAAAAATATTATTCTGTGTATAAATAATGCAGAATGTCTTGAAACAATAACTGTACAAACCATAAAATTATACTCAACAAAAACTTATGAAACATCTTGTACATTACAAACAAAAAGTATGTTAAAAGATATGATTATTTATTTTTTCTATGCATGTGTAAATCAAAATATGAATAGATTTATAATAGATAAAAATTAGATAATATTTACTATTAATGTTATGCCATATTTTGATCTACATATTATAAAGTATAAGTAAAACGAAAGAGAATATCATGATATTTATGAATGTAAGATCCTTAGGAAAGTACTAAACGTATATTTAAAATGAAAACAGAGAAAACAAATTTATGGTAAATATGTAAATATGTGCCTTTTTTTCAAATTAATGAAAAATTACATGCGTTTTATATCTTCACGATGATAGCATCCAATCACAGATTTTGCACTTTTAAAATTCAAAAATTGAAATTATATGTTGAAAGTAATAAAAATAAGTTTTGAATTCCGTAAGAATAATATTTTGATGTTATCAAATCTAAGGAGACTACAAAAATATTAGAATCGATAATCTCTTATCATTTTTGTTGCAGTGAGAAGCATTTCTACTCATCATAATTAAGTGAAAAGACACAATGAAAATAGATTTTAAACTACAATTTATCTCGAAAACATTTATCATCACTAACCTTCTGCATAATCATGTCTTATTCTCAAAGGTTGATTTCATATCTTAACAATTTCCATACATATAATCTGAGAGTGTACGCAAGCAAGATGCAAGATACATCAAGAGGTTCAAAGGGTTTTGTAAACAATATATTTAGGTCACAAAACCCGTTCTCCTCGGACCTCTTCTCTGATCTTTGTTGGACAGTAGGAGGGCAATTTTTAGACTTTATATGATTGAAATATGAAGTTTTTTATCAGGTTAACCATGAGGCACTTATGGGAATTTTTGAAACTGTCCCACAAATGAGAAGATATTGAACGAAGGACTAGTATTTTCTTAAACTTGCGCTGTCGAAGTGAATACAGAGTGTGACGAAATGGCTCAAGTTCTGACAGATTCGAGGCATTCGCTAATCGAGATCGAGTCCTTCAGGCGGGAAGAATGCGTGAGCAACAGAGGCAAGGGATTTTCACACGGAGGAAGAGAAAGCAGAATCCTTCGTGAGCTGTGGTGTGAAGAGCCTCTGTCCTAGAACTATTTATTAATCTCAGAGAGTCGAAGGTCTTGTTTTGTATTGTACAATGTACATCAGGCCGCGAGCGAGTCACGTGCCTTCTCATCGCACTCGCATTCATCATGTGTTGAATATGCATCTCGGATTGTCTAATGGCACTCGATCGATCCGAGCAACCACAAGCCACTGCATCCATCAGATCTCACGGAAACAGGCAGCTGAGCTGAAGGTGACGATGTTTGGAAGGAGCTAGGCTGCCATTTACTTCAGTGTGTCAATCGGATCCGAATCGAAACTGACTAGTAAAATGAAGGTGTGTACGCCATCTCCTTTCGTCATCCTCAGCTGCCTTCAGAGATGGTGACCGATAAAATCTGACCGATTCAATCGTAGATGTGAGCTCGGAGGGCGATGGACGATACTACTGCTTGCCCCACATTTTCACCAGAAGAAAGCCAAGGCCAGGGGCCTTGAAGTACAATCCCTTTTCATTCAGAAGCCAGTTCGAGAAGGGCCCCTCGCTGTGGTGGCGATTATTCTTGTACAAGACGTAGTGAATGAGATTGCTGCCCCACACGAAGGCGCATTCTAGCGAGCTCGACTCCACGGGCTTCGCCGCTTCATTGTCCGATGGTTGGATTTGAAAGCTCGCTCCTTGATGCGGTGCCAAGTTCACGCGCTTGAAGATGATGCTCAGCTTCTCGGCTTCGTATGCGCCGCAATCCACCTCCACGGTCGGGCCTCCTGCGGCCGTGTCCATGTCGCTCGTCACATGTGCTGTGATCAAGTCGTCGGACTCAGATCGACCATGGTCGTCGGCGACGGGCCGTGGCGGCGCCTTCTCGCGGTAGAATATAGGAGGATCTATGGACACCACCCCGTCAACATTGCCATTGTCATTGCCATCGCCGCCGCCGCCGCCGCTGCCGCTGTTGATGTGGATGTTGCTGCTTCGATCAAGCCTCGGATCGAAGTCTCCGGTGATTTGCGTTTCGTTGTAGTCCAGGTCCTCGATCACGGCAAACTCCTGTCCTCTGACAAACGCCACAGACCTCGACAGATGGATCGTGATCAGCAGCAGCAGCATCGGCATAGTCCACAAGCGTGCAGTGCTGCAGGTCCTCATGATAATTCACTGTCAATCGAGGGGTGATGAATCTGCTCGATCGATGGAGGGTGAGCTGAATCTGCTCGGGAAGATCGATGGTCATCCATCGGTAATGTGGAGGTGATTCGGGAGCCATTTAAAGAACCCTGGAGAGTGAACATGTAGTGGGGCCCATGGCGAAGAAGGATCGATCGAGGTGATGCAGTCCATGTAACGGAGATTCTAGATCTCGAGCAGTTGACTGCCGTATGGGGAACACTGATCACAGCTGCTGTACGTAAGAGGGACGGAAAGGCGGGCACAATCGAGCTTTCGATGGTCTACAGAGGAGGAGGAAGACAGCGGAGACGAGACATGGACTTGTTTGGGAGGTCAGGAAGCTGATGGAAGCCAGAGCAGTGATTGAGATCCATTCATAATAAGGACAGATGACGGCGTAAATTACCTTCTGCTGCAGATTTCGTCTGGGGAAAGCGGCTCTACCTCAGCTTCCGTGCCATTGTCCTTCCAGTCAGGTTGCACGTGGTGGCATCATCCGAATGACAGTCGATCACAACTAGCTCGATATCATACTCATGCTGTTTCCAGTAGGACTTGCACGTACCGTTTGCATCTTTCTTTGGAGCTTGAAGCTTCCGGAGTTTTCTGAGTAATGTGTGAACATGCTTGGAGTGATGGTTAGTACGATAACTCTCTCATCCCAGTAAATGCAGATGTCAGTGAAACTCAAGTCTTCTTGTTGAAATCAATCCATGCTTCGGAAGAGGACTTTATTTGCACTGGATTCATGCATTTTTCTTAAATCATTTTTCCGCAAGCTGGATTGTGACGCATGCTATAGTCACCGACAGAGCAAAGGGCAACCTTCTCAACCATATATTTCATACCTCTATATATGTATACATGGAACATATAAAAGATTTTTCCTCTTTGAAAAACAATGAGGACCGTGTATTTGTCATAAAGACGATGTAAAGGACCGAATCTGTATCTAAAGCCAGAGAAAGTTCTTATCAAACAAGAGAAATGCCGAGCTTTCCTCTCTCGTTTTGGAAAGTCATTCTCTCCAATGGCATTTGGCCAGTACACAGTCCTACTGCCATCTTCAATTAATTTGTACCTCCCTACATCGGACTGTGTAAGGTACCAATGAAAGTTAGTCAAGAGGAGTTTCAGTCGAGCTATTTTCCCGCTTCGAGTGTGCACGCCGTTAACTAGCCCTTCGCCGATCCTTGGATCTAACTGTTTACAACAGAAAGTTGAACTACTGCCCGAGCGATTAGAGCGAGTCTGTACGAGCCAAACTCAGGGTGCAGCAGTTTCCTTCGTCATCATGCAACTTTCAGCTTGGGATTTTCTTATGCTCAAGCTGTAATGGCGTAGGTGATTTCGTTCAATCGCTTACTCACATTTACCGTTTGTACCTGCAGGAAGATAACAACATAAGCACTTGAAGCACTTGAAACGATTTTTTGATGGGAAGTTCATTTGAAATCACAAGTTCAGTTCACTGAATAATTCGGATCATTTTCAAAATTTGATCTGAGGAAGATGCGGAAACGATTATGATACACAAGTATCAAAGAGTTACCACAATCGATAAAGGTCATCCTGACGTTCACGGAATGAAGCGGAAGCTGGCATGATTTTTAATGGTGGCCTGTGGTTCAGATCTGAAGGTGTCACTGGACGTGCAATGAATGTCGGTGTGAATCGAAACCTCTTTCAGGAAACAGGAACGCAACGAGACTGTCCACCTGCGAGTCCCGCAGTTGGTCAGATTATCTTAGTGACCCCATCATTCAAATCCAGAGTTCAAGATGTTGATGATGTCGACCTCAAGATGTTCATATAGGATGTGCACGATTCTATCAACTTATGGTATAGCAGATTGTTTGCAAATTTATTAGCCAATCCCCAAAAAACTACCACAAAATGTACTAATAAAATCCAAGCATATGTAAAAAGGAAGATAATGAAGGTACCAACCACATGCACAATCCTTATGTCGAAAACAAAATAACATTCTTTCTTGTCTCATGCATGTATATTATGTATTGACCACTAGGGGTTTCAGGTGAAAGCATCAACCCTTTGTACAATATTGAGTTGTGTCTGCTTACATGGGTGCAATTCAAAATTTTCCACATCATGTCCCATGCATCTATTTAGCCTAGAGATAATGCAGTCATGATAACTCATGAATAACATAAGACGAATTGCCATCTCGGGATCGAAGTTACGATTGACTGTCGAGTACCTAAGAACCCATCTTAAACATACAAAATCAGGATGAAATAATCCACTTGAATGAACTCGAAAATATCCAAAGCTTTAGCTTGGAGAATGTAAAAGCTTTCGGGTATCACTTGTGTAACTTTACAAATAACTTCAAAATTGTCCCTATCTCCTAAGCTTTGTCCAAGTCCAAAATCTGGGGACTGGAATCATGAGACAACTCCAAGAAGCCAAAGTATTACAACTGCCACTTCAATTTTTTCCACCAAAAACTAGATAGCTTTTTCTGGGACGGGGATATGTCATCTTTCATACCAACTGGTTCCAAGAAATCGAAGTGAGACAGATTAAATGCAGGGATGGGAGGAGAAGGAGGAGGCTCAAACCTCTCATCTTCCTCCAGTTTACAAGGATCCATGGAGTCAGCGAATTTCTGAATATTAACCAAACCAAATTGTTGGCACACAAGTAAGAATATGTAAAAACATTGGGCCCATTTGACTGAATGTGCCCATGGTCCCACCCCTACCCATTCTGCATTCATGTATACAATTCCAAGACATGGTTAGTGTAGAAGAAAGTCACCTCCAATATAAACCGGACCATAGAGCAGAGAAAAAGTAATCCAGTAAATGTGGACTAAAACGAATTAGAAATATAGTGATAATATGTCGTGAGGTGTATAAATTCTAAAGTCATGTTTACCGATCAGAACACACAACTTGCAACTTATTAGAGCAACAAAAATCACTTTAAAAACGATCTATAAGAATAACATGAGAGTATGCAAAGAATGGATCTAATTCTCTTTAGTCCAATGATAGTCTAAGACCAATCTAGCATTTAGCTTTTAGCTTTTGGATGGTAGATATATCTAATTAAACGAAGGTTGTTATTGGAACTAGGTCATACATCATCATATATAACCACCAGAGGTTATAGCGAAAAGAATCAAAAAACTATTGCATTCTCCTTTTACAAAATAGACAATGTTTGTGAAGTTTTTTTATTAAAGTTTCGTATAATAACCCGTTTTGTGTGACTCAAAAGTATAGATGATGCTTCTGTTGATATTTAATCCATATTTATTATGGATTTTTTTCTACACCTATGACTAATTTTACGATATTCAACTCATATTTTTGCCAAAAACATGTCAAACGAATGAATAGAAATCATTTGAACATCAAAATTCAAAACCTTAGACATAATTCAACAGGTTAATGAGGTTCTTTTATATATATATATATATATAAAATATCTTTCCCTTTGTTCCAAATTTTCATAGAAGTTTAAAGTAAGTAATGATCCTGTATTCTGCACTTCTTTTCCCTTTTAATAATATCATTCAGTAATATTAACCATTATAACCTACTGCAGCAAAACTGGTGATCACAGTGCCAACAAAATCTGCAAACAAATTATTCATAGAAACTTTATAAATAGAAGCATTTATAAAATAAAAGAAAAATGAAGTTTTTTTTATATATAAATAATAATAATTTATTTGGAATTTGTATCAATTGATACAATCCTAAACTACAACAATTCGTGATATTAGGAAATTAAAAAATTTTCTTATAAATCATAAAAGAAAGAGAAATAAACATTACGCATTTCAGTATAGAAATGTGGAATTTTGATCAATAATTCTTGAATTCCTAAATCAATACCTACTATAATCGTGGCGATTGTGCAAGATATTCACTAAGAATTTGAAATTTGAGAAAAGTTACATCCATATCTAAAACTATCGATTGAGCAATCGTCTAGCTGTAGATGAATAAAAGAGGTCTGTTATTCAAAGAAAATAATAATACAAAATAAATTTTTAAAGCTTATTTGATATACAGATGCAACACGCTGGGATGATATAAATATAAGTCAATGTATAAAATATTGATCAATTAAGAAAAAAATGAGTATTATTTTTCTTGATAACAAGTTGATAATATTCTTATATGATAACATATAAGAATGTATTCTATAAAAAACATATTGATACAGGTTTGAAACAAGATTAATTTGACATCCTGTTCTTCCAAATATGTGATCATTCAGTATATTTTGCGTGAATATACGTCCTAAGACTTTATGAAATCTGATACAGCACTTATGCAATATCAATTGAGAGCTTTAATAAGGAACTTCAACTATCAGCATAATAACTTATATAATAGATGAAAAGTACATATACTTATTTAACTATTTGTCTATGTCAATTATCTTGATCTTGTTGAAAAACATACCACTAAATTCTTCTTTTAACTAGAAGATGTTATAGATCAGACCAATAGGTAAAGTAACGTTGTACATTTACTTTCAAATTATTATACATGTCCGACATGACTTTGTCAACAATTTCGCCAATTCTTTCGTCATGAAGTAAGATTTATGCACTAATTCAAGATATTGGAAATACCTCATACGAAGCTAAAGAGAAAAGCAGAAAGTGTAAAATAATCCAAAATAACCTTCTTAATATTTGTATCAATATATTAATCACCAAATGTACAAAACTGTTAGTTTGTTGGCTTTGCCAAATATTTTACCGGTCTTCATGGCGCTGAAGATAACAAGGATATAAAAATAACCCAAAACATAACAAAGGTTACCATTACAAACATCCCCTCAAAGAAATTAGACCTTGTATTTGGAAGTGAAAGCAGAAGTAATCAATTTAGAGTTCTTCAATATGAACTACGGACATGAATATGCACAATCAAAATAAAATCAGATTCATTGAAAAATATAATTGGACGAATTTGATTCCTTATTTATTAAAGAAATTAAGTTATACCCTTTAAGAGTTCTTCAAGTGCAACTACAAACATGAACTTGCTTTCTCAAAAGTTCGTTCTCATGTATTAAAACGTTTTAATAAAAGTAATTGGCTATTAAGTTTAACCAAGTTATCATTTACCATATACAGACCTTTAACTTCAACAGCAGCAATGATATTGTACTCGGATGTTTGGAAACGCTGTAATTCCAATTTACATGTGATTTCACTGTATGTAAAGATGACTCGAACCTAGCTTGATTATTTTATATTCAGTCCCAAGAAGACTTCGTTTGCTGATGAATGTCCTCCTTTGTTAGTTTATTAGGGTTTAGCCGGACAATATTGTACAGATAATCTCTTCATAGTTTACACAATAGTAAATGTATTTCCCTTTGATAATAGGCAGTATTAAGGTACAAGTATGATGAAGTATTAAAATACATCAATCTTATATAATATATGAACACACTTCATTCTTGTAGCTCTCTTTGCTCCTGTTCTTATCAAGAAACTGTGATCGCATAAGGAAAGATGATCGCTTAAAAATTTATTCACCACTGAAGCCTTTACACGAACGTTCGAAAAGCCATTTACATTCAGCCATTCGGATCCTCATAGGTCACAGGCAAGATAAACGATTCAATTGCAAAAGACATCGTAACCAGTCAAAGCGATAGCGATACGCAAACGAACTAAAACAACAAAAAATCAGACATTTAGAAGAAAATCAAATCGATCTTCGATAAAAATCTCAAAACTTTGTGAGTAGTAGTAGAAAGAGAGCGAGTGATAGTTATATCATCACAGCGAATTTGCTATTATGTTACAATTTTGGGGGAAAACATCTTCAAAGAATGGCACCCAGCGAACATTTCTCGTTGTAGGTAAATCTAAAACCGAAGGGTGAAAGTGTAATTAACGGATGCAGAGATAATCTGAGTTACCTATTGCAGTGGACAACAAGCAGAAGATTACACAATTGATTTCGGTCTACCATGGAGGAGCATTGTTTGTGAATTCAAAGATTCAGCATCACTTATTGACTCTCGTTGTGCGCCAAGATCATCAAGTGGCTTAATGTCAACTACTTCAGCACCTTCCAACTTCTCTCGCGAGGTGGAGTTCTCGCTACGTTTACTGATGTTGCTCACATCCTGACTACCTCCACGAGATAAGGGTTTGGTGGGAGTTTTGGATGGAGATTTTGTAGGAGAATCACCTTGATTTTCTCCACTTGCTCCCCTCGATAGAAGAGTTTTGGGCCCATTTTTGGGTGGTAGATTTCTGTTCATGAGCTCGTCCGCTCCATCATCATCCGATTCATCGCCTGCTAGATCATTTCCAGCTACCACAGATCGAAGAGTTGGGTGAATGTAAGCATTCTCCAGAAACGCTCTGACGTCCAGATCGGGTTCACGAGCTCTTTCAATCGTGTCCTTCGCCTTCGCCTCCTGTTAAAGACCACCGTGACGATTATGAGCGCAACCATGTGACAAAGATTGCTAGTGTTCGCTCACACCTTGATTTGCATCTCACTGCTATACATTATGCGGGTTGAATACGAATAAAAGTTAAGAAGATATGTGAGAGGTCTCGTAGAAGATTGACAATTCAGAAAGTCTTCAAGAGTACTCTAACAAAGCAGTCTCATCCACAAATTATTCCAGAAGTGAACTGAATAGATGAATTATGCTCAGAATGTAAGCCAATTTAACATGGTAATATATTGGAAGTCCAAGACAGCAAAAAGAGTCGCTCTCCCAACGGGAAAGAATGTGGATAATGAACATTGACTTACCTCCAATGCATAGCTGTGGAAAGCTTCTTCAAACCGATTCTTGCAGTAAAGATAGAATATTAAGGTACAGATTGGAAGAGGAAGTAAGAATGGAGTCGAGGATGTTGCTTCTTTCAATGCCATAAGTCCGATAAGAGTAAGATGCTTCAATAACAGGCCAATGATAATATAGCCAAACATGTGAGGCCAGAAAGCCGCTGCACTCTCATATTTTGCCTCGTAGCAATTTAGAATCTGGGCAGTACAAGTCCAGAATCAGTAAGGCTCCGGACAAATATTTGTATATATCATCATAAGTCAAAGTCACATTATTAGCTGACATTGCATGATAGAAGCATTCTTTCAACATAGAAAAAGTAAACTACTACATCCCGACTCCAAAGCGCAGAAACAGTTACAACCCAAAAAGAAATTACGAGTATCGCTACTCACGAAGAGATGCAAGCCTCAGTGTTGTCCATGGAAGGCCTATATTAATTTACTAACTGAATTCAGTAGAAAACGATACCTAAACTAATTGAATGTCAGCGAAGATTGTGAGGAAGGAAAGTTCGAATGAATAATGCTGGTGCCCTGAAAAAAACTTAAAATGTTGACGAAATAGACGAGTAGACTTTACCTGGTTCCGATTCACCACGTAGGAAGCCCCTAAGGACACAACAATGAAGGGTAAAATGAACGGTGAAATCACCGCGTACACAAGTCCTAGAATAAAATATAGACCCAACTGAGGCAGTGCGGTATTCAGCTCAATTGTGCCGACTGGGGTAGCCCTCTCCAGATCTCTAGTTGTGCGCACCATCAACGCACTTCGAAAGTGAAAAAGTAGCAACGGTATCAACCTCATCAAGGTAACAGCAAGACCGGTCCACCCATCCACCATGATGTAGGTGATGAAAAATGTTGCCTTCATGGGCACTGCCTGGGCGAGAGTTTTAGGAATCCTGTCAAAAGTTAACGAAAGCCGGGGAGTGAGACCACTAACCAAAGACTAGTATATATATCGACATCAATCATTCACCTACGGTTCTAGTTTAAGGTAGAGATAAAACCAAAATGCAATCACTCTAAGGAATGTATTCAATGACGTGGAAACAGTTACTGGAATCCCTATATTTCCGAAGCAACAACGAAACCATCATCGCGTTTACGTCTAAATAGAATCTTGGTCACTTCCTAAGGACAGAAGACATATCTGAGACAGTTTTCCTACACGAGAACAGCTTGAGGAAACTTTAACAAACAGAGACGGAGCTGAAATTGAAGAGGCTAAAAGTCTTACTGAGTAGGCCTATCAATGAATTCCTTCAGCTGTTCAAATGCAGAACCAACCAACACGTTTCCCAGAAACACGTTTACCACCATGAAACCGAAATATTTGGCAGCAGCGTACTTGTCAATCCGAGAATATGACACATGACCTTCGAACCTGGTCATAATGTTCAAAACGTACGGCAAAGCTAGTAGAAAAATCTTCAAAATTAGACCTGGTAAAAAACCTTGTATCGCTGATTTCAAGACGTCCCTGCATGTTCAGATTTACAGGATATCAATGTCACTTCTCGAATGACATGTTCAACACAGGAAACTCATTCATTTCTTCAGAAGATACGCGAGAAGCCCAAACGATATGCCACCATGCATGATCCATTATACTCGGCATGTAAGGGTCAGACAAACTTACAGTTCCACAATTGGTTTCAAGAAAGGTAGATTTCGCTCAAGCTGTTGCAGATTCGCAAATCCTTGTACGAAAGTGACAGGAAAGAAGAAGAAGATAACCAGAACGATCGTTAGGATCAGCATTCCTAGCCTGCGTGAGTTTAGTCTGTGGTATGGAATTGGCAGGTTGGCCCAGTAGACGTCGCGAGGCTCGGGAGCCCATTCTGTCAACCACTTTGAAAGATCCCTGCTTTGTACCGTTTGCGAGCACACAGCAGCTCCCCATCTAGTCTCGAATGACACAAATGCAGCCGGCATCACTGCCTTATCTTCAGTCAAGACCCGCATCCGTTCTGCAGTTATCTGCATGTTCAAGAAGTTAAGAAGGTTAAAACTTTATTTCATACTTCAAGCAAGGGAGAGAGAACCTCTAAAGGAGCGTGAAGATTCCAAGCTATTCGTCACAAACCTCCCAAAATGCAAAGAGCTTCTAAAGCAAACAATTGAATACATAGATATATAAATCTTACCTGGTCAGTGAGCTTTGCGATCTCATCGTCGTAGTAATTGATTTGATCTACTTTCTTTCCCCAGAGTCCCCAATATCCCGTCTGCGCAACAGAAAACAAGCGGGTTCAGTTATTGATCAGAGGTACAGTGATGAACGCTAGCACAGCCCTTCGGTCCACAAAACTTGAAGAAACTCATCAAGATCATGGACAAAGGAACATCACCTTTACTGTAGGCCGCGCAGGTTTTAATTTTTTATCCATTACGCCTTGCAAGTACGTGATCTTGTTTTGCAATTTCGCTCTTCTCTTTACAAGCTTCGCCAGATCGTTCGCATTGTAAACTACCTGCAAAGGTCAACCATGTTACAGGAAGCATTGGACGTGGCCTGTACAATTCACCCGGTTCCTGATGCAACCTATCGTGTTCTAATTGATAAATCACTGGAATGAGAACAGGAAACTAGTTACGTGGCACCGAGCACTCAAGCTTTGCTGCGCATAGAGCAGAGTGAAAACAGTGAAGGTGAGAACTTTTGGACAAACATGTAAGAGTTCAAATTGTGAGAATTTACCTGACTCAACAGATAATGATCCGGATGGTTTACTCTGAAGAAATGATCGACATGTGTGGCAATCGGCTCATCTGGGTCTTCAGGTATACACCGGCAGAGGATCTGTTGTGATTCAAGAAACAATGTAATTAAAAACAACACATACATATAAAGACCTAAAATTTAATAGGTGTGCAAGATGATAAAAAAGCATAACTTATAGAAGAAAACCACAGCAATGCACTCACAGTGAACTGGTCCGGCCGTGCTATTTGCAATGCAAGAAAAGTAAATCGGAGGGCCACGATGTTCCGATACTCCCTAAACAGGAGCCAACATGCCCATATTGTGTAGACATATGCAGCCACGAGATGTGCCCACAATCTGCCCTGCATCCAAATTCACCCACGAATGATCTCTCGCATCTTTGTAAACTTTTCGACCTATATACTGGTTGCTCATAAATGACGGGACCGATCAATTAAATAACCAAAGATGGACTACTTTGCGTGACAAGACTGTGTGCAGGATTCCCAGGGACATGTTTCGGCACCTAGCTTTGGAGAATTCGAAATTGAGTTCAAAGAGCTATTGATGAAAGTTGAACACGACAACTCACCTCCTGGAGGCGGTACTTATATTAGAGATAGTGATTGTATCCAATGCATCGTATGTAAGTGCTTTATCTTTCAGGTCGTTGGATAGTTGTTTGTCCGTGACGTTCAGCGGCACGAGGACAACAAATCCGACCACGGTGAGGGGAACAAAGAGCTTCAATCTGCATCAAACATCACCACCCACCTCTTCAATCTATATCCATTCGATACATGGCGTCCAGTAATGTTCACCCAACCGGGCAAAATCATCATATACTCTATACGTACATCAGAAAATATGTTGCTTAATACGAATCGAAGAACCATGGAACAGGGATACGTAAATGCGGTGCTTACTTTCGGGATTGAAATTTTGCCAGAAGAAGAGTGGGATTGAGTGATCGAAAATCCTCAGAAGAGAATTGAATTACTGTGCTCCACTAGTAGTACGAAAGTGCATAACTGGGAAACAGCTAAAGGAAGCAAACTGCATTTCAGCTCTACGTACCCAAGGAGAATTAAACGAAGGAAGACAGCAGAATCCAGCCCGGCATGATCGATAAGTTCCGCCTCTGGCATTCTCAAACAATCCTTGATCCAGTCCATCACATGGATATAACTTTTTGCATCCAAGTTGATGTACCGACGTATGCCAGTGCCCGCCGGCAAACTGCCCGTCGGACCGACTTTCTCCCCTTTCAATTGCCATTTCGCAAAGTAAACTCGTGCGTTTAAGGGCTGATTTTTCAAGATGGAAAACAATCCAATAATAACCACGGACGCCACTCCGTTGATCCCGAAAGAAGTCAGGAGATCGGATGCGGTCGTCATATTGTGTCCTCACGACCTTCTCGTGTTCAATTTAGCAAATTCGAGAAGCGGAGTACGTGAAAACATTCGCTGACTTCCTGCTTGTTGGAGAGAACATACTTCTGCAAAGAAAACGTGCAATATGACTCTTCATTCTCAGCTTCACAACGAGTGCAAAAATACAGGAATCAGAAAATGTGGCCGTAAGGTCGATGTCCGCCAGAAATGTGAAACTACCTCACTTTTTGTGACCCACTAGACTTACAACTGACTTTGGCCTTAATAAAAAAGACATGAAACGTGGGATTGCACACGTTCATGCTGAGATGTAGAGGGCAGTAGAATACTTGATGTTGCAAATTGGTGTTAGTCGCAGCTGTCAGGATAATAAGGGGGTTTTTTTAATTTGACAATGATGACCATTACAGACAGGAAAGATTAAAAAAGGCAATGAAAGAATAAAGGAGAAAACCCGAGCCTCAACACTTCACTTCCTTCGCTGATAATGTAACGGGAAGTAACATCCGCAGCCACAACGGAAATTTTCTCACAGCCGAGCTCTAAAGTAACACTCGTCGTTTCTACTTCCATGCCACTAAAACGTTGATTCCTGCAAGGGACACTACAATGCCCAAGTTGACCGTCTGATTTATTACCTCTCGAAAGCCTGAGCCAGTTACAGTCCTTTGCGCGCTCCGAGGAATCCCATGGATAGACGTATCAGTCTGCTCTATCCCAGAAGGCAAGTGTAGACCAGAAATTGTTCGTCACAACCCAGCACTTCCTTGCACCACCGAGCTCAAGCAACCGCCGGGTTCCACAAGTAGCTGCGAAACTTATCCAAGAAAGGCCAGTTGCCAATGGGGAAAGGGGAAGAAAAGTGGACGACAGAACTTCTAACTACGATCGAAAGCAAGCGCTCCTTTAGGTCCCCAAAGACCGCAGCAGCTGCAATTGAACCCCCGTACTTCAAATTCCCCGGAAATCCGACCGACGAGAACCTCCTGTACTGCTGCTGCCTGCTAGTCCTAAGAATTCCCCTGCGAGATCCTTATCAACAAACCCGACGCACCACGCTCGCCGCGTCACCGAGGCTGCCCAAACACAAGACGCCGAGGAGTGAAGGGAAAGAGCAGAGAAATTATGCCAACAGCAGTTCCCCTATTCCACAAGCAACCCGGACCGATACGCATGCACAGCAGAGCAGCAAAGCGTCGCACGACGCCGGTCGATGGGCTTCACAAGAAATTTGCTGTTGCACAAACGAACAGTCGGTTCTTAGTTGGTGAAAACGAGAGCAGTCGCGAGCTCGGACTTCTAAAAACAGAGGTGTCTAAATTGGCGACAAATCCGAGCACTCTGGGACAGCAAGAACACACAGCAACGAGGCCCAACACTGTGAAATCTCCGCACTGGCCACTTTTCGCCAACGACTACCTTGTCCTGTCCGGCTCGACTCTCCGTTTGTCACAGCCAGCCTCCATGCCCTCCAGGTGTTATAAAGCAATCCCCCGGTGGGTCCCGCGTCTGCTCCTCCTCCTCCGAGTGCCCTCCACCATCGCCAGCAGCTGCAGCACTCTGCCTCCTCTGCCTCCTCTGCCGCTGCTGCTGCGGCTCCATGTCCATCCTTCTCGATCATCTTCTGAACCTTCTGATCCTCTTTTCTCCTCTTCCGTCTCGGCCTCGACTGCCGTGCCGTGCCTGGCGCTCCTGCGCTGCCCAGCCCTAATTTCTGGCCCTTCATTCCCGACCACAGTCGCTAGCTTAACGACGATGGGAACCACGTTATAGTACGACGGGGAGATCCTTCCAAGTACACGAATGCGCGAATGAAACCACTGCGGGTATCACGGGCTAACGGTTAGCCCGTGTTACCTGTTTTGGAGTTTAGCCGCTAGCCTCAAAAAATATCTCCGTGGCAAATTAATCATACCCTCCCGAAAATCTGCCCAAGCGGTATTTAAAGTGCTTAAGAGTGCTCTCTGAACTAATCCATATCACAAACCGAGGATGATAAGCCCTTATATTATATAATTTTATAGAAAGATAAAAGATTTATTTGAATCTGACACTGGAATGCGGATGATGCATGATTATTTTCGAATCGGAGGAGTTGCCGTAGATTTACACATTATGGTTCTATCACACATTCTCCCTAACTTGTTCCATTTGCTTGCCTTGCCTAACCATGGTTAGCACAACTTGGGTTAAAACATTATCCCGCAGCGTCAGAGGAGATATTCTTTCTTATAATCACACGGAGGAATGAGTCATTATGAGGTTTATGAGATAATGACGATATGGTCCTTAGGAGAATGAGATATTATTAATAACTCTCATTATTAAGCGATATCCGAACGAACGCCCTTTCGGCTTCAGTTTGCGTCGGCAGTCCGATCCAATACCCGGACTGCAGCTTACAGAGCACACCAGTACGGAGCACGAACGGTGGACTGCGGTTGCCGGGGGGGCTGGAGTGAACCGCAGTAACTGCAGTCGCCACGGCGCACTCCGTACGCCACAGAACTGCCCGACTCAGCTGACCGGATGCACCGTCCGCGAGCCGGAGCCGAGGGTCACAGGTTCGGGTCCAGGTTCGGAGCCAGGTTCGGGGCGAACAATTCCGCCACTCCACGGGGACGCAGCCCAACACCGCAGACAGCGTCGGAATAATAGGCGGATGGGAAAAAGGCCACTCGCAGGTGGCGGTCTCTGGTCTGATTCTCCTGTCACGTGTCGGCGTCTCAGTGGTGGCGACTTCCTCAGCGCCCGCTAACGACAGGCTAAAGTTAGTCACAAGTTCCCCAACGGTCAGTCCAGGTCAGTCCAGAATACCGGCGGATGCTTGTCTGGGACTCTGGGGCTCACGGCGACTCCGGCTGCTCGGGCCTGTCTCGGCTGCGGAGGAATCGTTCCGCAATCCATTCGTTCGTCTCGATGGCTCGTGATCGATCGATCATGGACGAGATCGGACTTTCTTTAATTGCTTTTCTAATGTCAGCGATATTATTTGCAGGAAATTTCTTGCGACCTCGAATTGTTTAGCAATACTTTCTCCGCCTCCATATCCTCAGATTTGCATATTTTATCGAGTCGGGCGTCGCATGATCGACTGTGGCATGCAGCTCCGGTGCATTCCTGTCGACGAGTCGGTCCTCGTTGTCCCGCCCCGTGTTCGTGGTTGCTCGTGGCGGGTTCGAGCGAGCGTCAATGGCGTGTTCGTGATGGCAATTGTGTCCGACACCCGCATACTCATAGTTCGAACCTTGGAAGGAAGATGTGATTTGTTTCGAGATCGTTTAGGACCACCGAGAGATGGATGTTCCGTTCTTGATCGCTCGAGCATCGATTTGGAGAAGGAGGTAAAAGGAAATTTGGACTGCGAAAGTGGACTTTTATCGGATTCGCATGCGCAAAGATTGATGTAGTCGCTGACCAGGTGGCGGCCTGTGAAGCCAAAATTCGATAAGCATATGCAATCTGATACAACTTCCCGGATGGTGATTTCACCGCTGGCCCTTTGAAATGTCATACAGACTCCTTGCCACCTGTCGGCTGCTTGCAAGTCAGTTGCGGGGAGGTGAAGCCGAGATTGTGTAGCGAGACGAACGCATGGCACATGGTGATGTGTTGCCGGGGATGCTAAACTGGGATCAAGTACCTTGTCCCTCGTATTCTCCTCGACCTCTTCGGAACAGTGGTGTCTCACATCGGAGCACCACGTCGAGCACCAGGTGTATGATTCGTACGACGCGGAAATTGAGCGATTCGTTGCACTTTTGGCGATCGATGCGTGAGCTTCGTTACGAAGAGCGATGTCATCTTACGTCCGATGGCAGAACCGAGAGCACCGGTCAAGAACAGAACGAGAACGAAAGCAATGCCATCACTATCATTCTTAATTCAGGCGGTGTACTTGAACCCCGATGAAGTCTCCGAAAAAGTCTCTATGGTGCCCTAAATTGGGCATGCTTTCGTCCGTGTCTATCAAGAAGGTCAGACATGTGCGTTGCAGAGCCGATTTCTCACGAGATTGGGCAAGACTTTTGTTGGCAGAAATGATGATCGAGGGTTTGTGTCTCTTGAAATCATATGCGGATATTCTATTTTACTGCGAATTGGGAGGCAGAAAGAAAAGGACCATCGCCTCGACAGAAGGACGTGTGTCCGTTCTGCTTCTGAGCCCTGACCTACCTCCGTGGACAAAGCATCAGGCTTATCCATCGACTTCCTTCTTCTTCTTACCTCGCTGGAGATTAGCCACAACGACAAGGGCCAGGTGTCGCAAGGGTGCCACCTGCTTTCCCGAGCTGAGGTAGAAATTCCACTTCCGACCGGCCAAACGAAGACCCTGGAATCCCGTGAACGAGGTCCTTCGTAGGTGAAAGGCGTCGATGGCGCCAAACTCCCTCGAACAGACCAGGCTCGCAATTCGATCATCATCATCATCATCAAAGATACGATTCCTCGGTACCATTCTGGATTCTGGAGTGCGATTGTAGGTCTTCTAGAGAATAATCAAACAACCGGTCGGAGGTCGAGGATCTGCACTAAAAGCCTAAAGTGGGCAAGATGTGGCATTTGTAGGCTCGCCTGGATTTCCAGCAAACGCGGGTACCTATATGTCTGTCGTGCCTTCGAGGGGGGAGGCACACCGAAGAGGATGGATAGGGAGATAAAGGACTCGGCCTTGGCCTCGACCTTTTCTGCACGAGCTGTAAGAATGGGGATCGAGAGATGGACCAGAATCCTCTCTTCGTCGCACTTTACGCTCGAAAGGTACTCGAGCGATGGGCACTTTCGGTTTGTCGGTCACGCGTTGACGGGCCGAGCAGGCAGTTGTAGCTCTCACGTTTTGCCAAGCGTTACGTAACCCTGAGCTCCAAAAGCACACTCGCTTCGCTCGAGATGCGAAATTTGAATCTGGATTTCGAGATTTCGAACACTCTCGGCATGGGTGACTCGATGACTCGAGTTGTCGTGTGAAAAAGAACGAGGAAGATCAAGATTGGCCTCTCGTACGAACTAAGACTCCTCCTGCTTTCACGTGCAGTCGTTCGTTAAGCAGGAGCATTCAATGTAGGATCGCGCAGACACTCATTGGACACGCTTGACTGGCCCACTAAGCTGATCGTGTGGCAGGAACAAGTTTACCTATCATCGGCATTCTCTTCCCTATCTTGCAGCTTTTGAAGTTGCACGTGCTTGTCATTGATAAACGTAATGGTGTAGAGAATCAAGGAACTGAAAAAGATGTCGTCAGGACGGACGCACTACCTTCGAGGTTGATCGTAGGGCAAAGTTCCAAGAAGCTAGTTCACCAGGAGCGAACGAGTGTACTGTCTCTTCCATTTTCATTTCTTGTGTCCATTCATAGAATTTGAAGGAGAAATCTCTCGACGAGTTTTATTTCTCAGTATAACAAGCTCATTAGCAGCGCGAATTGTGAATCCCGTCAACAGAAATTTCATTTGATTCTCATGTGAATCGGTGGTTGTGACTCATCACCTGAGGGAAAGCTAGAGTCTCTGGGTTCAAATTTCTCACGACCATCGACGAAGGGATGGGCTGCCAGCTGAGATAAAGACTGCTCCGACCCCATCGGAGCGGTACTCAAAATTGTGTCAAATGGGCAGACAGCCACTTCAATTTCTATGTACAGAACTTTCTCGTGTGACACCCGCCGACTGCCGACCTGAATATACCATCACTTGTAGACGGCAGAGTGGAACATCTCTTCAATTTCCCACTGAAGCTCCAAAGCCTTGTTCTCCATCACATCAGGCTCCTTCGTGGCGTACGTTCCGCAGGTCTTCCAGGCTTCCAGGCTTCCAGGCTTCCGCAGACTCTCGTTGCGGCATCAAACGAAGAGCCAAAACCTCCCCAGGGAGCGCCTTGTGACACGCTCAGCTCTTCATCATGTCCTCATCTAGCTTCTGCAGATTTCATGTAGCCGTCGGCAGCTTGCGCCACAGACTGAATGGTGACTCGTACTCCAGGGCCCATCTACAAAAATATTTGGGACCAGGTTAGGAACAAACCCGACGCCCGAAGAGCCCTACACCATCACCTTCGTCTCCGTAGGCCACTCTTTCCTAGAAGCCCAGACTCGGATGTACGACAACTCAGACGGCAAAACTGGAATGTCAAATGTCAGCTAGTTAACAAAACCATGAGGCGGAGAATTGATTGAGTACCGTGGATGAGAGCGTGAAGCTGTTGACATAACCGGCATATCTGGAGGCTGGAGAACGAGTCACATACCCGAGATGGGGAGGAAATGTGAGAAACTAGACTTCACCATACTGAAGGACACGAGGTACGTGCGCTCTAATAAATTTCAATAGCTTCTCGTTGAATAAGCACAACAGATTAGCTGACAAGTTTTAATAGCAATCACTAATGCCGTGCTGAGACTCGACCCCAAGTGGTGGACGAAGAAACTCGGCATTTGAAACTATGATCTACATCTCACTGCAGAAGAGGAAGGGCTCAGAAAATTACTCTTCTTCAAGCCCGTTGGTTTCGCGGCCAATAGAGCTCCTGTGAAAGCTGCTATATTCGCGAACAAAGCCTCGTCCTTGAAGCTAACCTGATATCCGTGGGAACGAGGAGATTTTAAGAAAAGTGGCTATTCGGAAAAGATCAGAATCCGATAGCGGAATGGGGTTCACATGAGGTGCGTTTCACATGAGAGACATCTACATGGTAGCGAAAGTTGACAGATTCGAACTCGAGCTGCGCTTGCCCATTGAGAGTATTAAGAGTTCATTTCTCGGTGATTTGGATGAGTGCCCTCTCTGACAAGTATGGCATCAGCTGGAAAATGATTCGCCCAAAAAGAAAAAGTGACATCTGGATCAGTTTCTAGACTGAAAGGATCTGAGTTGCGATCCAGCGTCTGCGGGCATCGTACCTTTCCGAGGCCGGCATGCACGATTCCAGACTTGTCCGCTCGAAAGTCCACAAGACCTTGCTTCGCTGCCCTCACGGCCTCCCCGACATTGTTAGTCACGGTCCCAACCTGAAAGCACAGGTGTAGGAAAACAATTCTCACAGACTGGCCATGGCACTACGCTGGTGGAGGTAGATTTCGTACGTTGGCATAGCCTCTGCTTGTAAAACCTGTCAATTTGCAGATTCAAGTTTGGAAACAAGAGAAGAGCTGCACAAGCATCATCGCATCTGGTAATGGAAAGTAACAGAGACTTCCATGATGATGTCGCACTGTCTAAATCACTAGCCGACTTCACAAATCCTAAAGCAGCAACTACAAAGGGTCGGGCAAACCTAAAGGCAACTCACTTTCGGGTTTGGCATGAGTCCCCGAGGCCCTAGAATACGCGCAACCTGCAGGCAACAAAGGTCACGTACTTCCAGCAACTTCAGTGTTGATACAAAGGTAACGTACTTTCAGCAAATTTACATACGCAGTCCTGACTGATACACAACACCGACAACAACACATTTCTCGATCCACGTAGCTGTATTGAAAGAAACAGCGAGTTTGATGGCAAAATTTTGGAAGAATGAGAACCTTGCCAAGTCTGGGCATGAAAGAGGGTGTGGCGATGCACTTGTCAAAGTTCAGCTTGCCGCCACCTACAAAACCAAAGTTTGCCATGAGATCCACGGGAGAGAGACGAAGTTCAGGGTCATCCGAAATATCACCACACTGAAAGCATGAATGTCACCACTGGCATGAGATGAAACTAGAAGTGCAACGAGAACTGCGACCCGATCGGACTTACTCTCTTGAATCATGGTGATAAGGTCATCTGCTCCGACCACGTCAGCACCTGCACTCTCGGCTTCCTGAGCTGCGGCTCCTTCGGCAAAAACGGCCACCCTGACGACCTGTCCTCATTGTCATTGATCCTTTCTTTCATGCCACAATCTTGCAAAGCAGTACGTTCCGTCTTTTCACAATGATAAAATGTGACTCCACCGAGTCTAATTGACAGCAAACTCAAAACAAAATTACGAACAATGTTGTACCTTGCCTGTACCATGCGGAAGAGTTGCAGCTCCCCGAACCATCTGGAAACAGAGAACGTCAATAACTGTTGTATCTGATGAATACTGAATTGCTGGACATGGATCGGTCATAAACAAAAAAATTCTGCACGACAAAATGCTCAAAAGGAACTCCTCCCAGGATTCTATCACAACCTGGCCTAACCTGGTCACTTCGGCGAGTATCTATGCCAAGCCGCACGTGGACTTCCACGGTTTCATCGAAACGAGCTTTAGCGCCAGCCTGGACATAAGAAAGAACACAGACCTTCAACTCTCTCGCATATTTCCGGGTTAAGACGGTGTATTCTGAAAACAAATCAGAACACGGTGGGCCTTTCTTCATGGTTTGTAAAATCGTGCACCAGAAAAGCATGCAGTGATAGATCATGCTTGTTCCAGCTCATTCGCAACACGCTGATAAGTAAACCAACAAACCAAAAAGTAACACTCTGAGACAAGTAAACTTGCTCTCTTTTTTATTCCTAGTTTCCACTTTCTCAGAGTTTATGTATTCGACGAAACACGACCTACATCCAATACCAAACATTTGATCAAACAAGTCACACACCTTCGAGTCGAGATGTAAGCCCAAAAATCGACAACACTTGAAAAATTCCGGACGTGATTAGGCAGCGAAGCAAAACATGTGAGATGAGAAATTTCCTGTAAAGCTGGCAATCCATGTATAGGAGGAATCAAAAAGGACATATGCGCGATCGAGCCAACCTTCAACTCCTTGATCGCCTCCGCCAACACCATAGGCTCCTTCCCCTTCACCTGCGCCGCTTTAGTGAAGTAAGGCAAGGCGACGTCCTCATCCTGCCCTTCTTTCTGAGAGAACTTCTTCGCCAAAGAGGACGATCCATCGACGGCACTGATCTCGCTCAATTGTTCAGGCGTCAAATCCTCGGGCAAATTGGCCACTCGAGGCTTAAATGAAGATAGGCCGTCCTCGCCATTCAAGTCTGGTTCTACGACCGACTGATCTACGGCACCATCCGCTGCACCGACGACGGGACTTCCTGCAACCGGCAACGAATCCGAAGGCTCGTGGGTGGAAAATCCCGAGGTGAATTTCGAGAGAAATGGAAACTTGTACGCCACAATCGGAGTGCTGGAGCACGATCGATGCGGGAGGTTGACGAATGCTGCGCGCTGCAGCAGGTGCCTGAGGGCAGCCATTGCCAAATTTATGATCCAATGTTCTGCTGTCGACGAATCGCTCTGAGCAAACGAGCGAGCTCTCGTCGGTTCTCGTGTAGGGTTTAAGCTCGTCCCGGCTCCTGCGCCAGATCTGAGTCGCAACGAGTCGCAGAGGGTCGCCAAAGGGTCCTCGTTCTCCAAGGCCTCCTTGCCCGACGCGTCCCAAGCCTGCCTTGCGCCGAGCCCCAAGGCGCGCGACCTTCATCTTCTTAAAACAACCACCTGTGAAACTCATGATAGATATAAAACTTTTCTTGAAATGAATTAATTAGTAAAATTAATTCTTGGATTATATCAAATTTAAAGAATTAAATTACGCTTCCAGATTGACGAGGAGTAGAATTGCAAGTTTCAGTATAAATATTACAGGCATGGGCTACAGTAGTCAGAGTGTGTAGAGTAAAGTTATTTACAAAACTTGTGAATTTGTGCCTGAGCTTGGTGAATCTTAGCTTGAGAGTGAAGTTGATTATTCACATTTCGCTTATATTTTTTTCTGCATAAATGAGAATTTGCTGAATACATCCACTTCTATCTTCATATCTCCTTGTGTAAATATTTGACATGTAATAGATGCTCATATGACTCAATGTCCTTACGGTTAACGCACGGAGCAACTGTCAATGGCTAACTCAAGTGAAAATGAGGAATTATTCATATTCGGCTTGGTTATACAAAATCATTTTGGTATTGTTGTGAGCTTGGTATTTATTAGGTAATATTAATGAACACTAAGCATACTTACATTATACTTATCAGATACAGTTTTGGCTTGATTTGCAACTAAGTTGCGAGACTTTAGGTTCTAGATAAATTATATGAAAAGATGAAGTTGTGGAACGCAATTTTACAAGTTTGTAAGCTATATATATACGTGAGTTTTATTAGTCATATTGCACTAAGAGAGTACTAAGTGATCATTTTTCAAACGGTTAGGGTTTACAGGTTCCTTCACTTATAACCACCATATCCTTATGCTTATCATTTCATTTCCTTCCTAACCTCTCGCATTCTCTAGAGTCTAAATCATGTACGAGTTTCTCAAGGTGTGATGTATGGCATACACTTAAATGGAAAGAAATGATACAAAGGAATATAAAACATTGGATTTCATATTTATGTGCTGAGGACTGTACAAATATTTCCCCTCTACTGCCATAAGTATGGAAGAGGTAGAACTGAGCCAGAAAGATAAAACTGCTTCGTTGATCTGTTCTACGCACGAGGGCCATGTATGCATCCATCTACTGCCTTGGCTGCGGATGGTTCCCTCTACAAAACTCCGACGTTGCGCATGATCAATACTCTGGTCTCGAGCATATCATCCATGGCGTATTTCACACCTTCTCGTTGGATTCCAGAATCCTTCACACCTCCATAAGGCTGGCTGTCCACCCTCATGCTCGGTGAGTCATTCAGGCACACTCCGCCCACCTGCAGAACATCGACATGCTCAGAGGTCATGGCCAACTCCATATTGCAGAATATTGCAGAAACACACGCCTGGAATCCAGTTGCACACAAAATCCATCGTCATACCAAGTGTCACTTACTCGAGTCAGCTAGCTGCTCATGATCCGAAAGGAGTACAACTCACCTCCATATGTTCAAAAGCGTAGAATGCCTTGTTCACGTCTGAAGTGAAGACACCTGATTGCAGTCCATACTGAGTGTTGTTGCATTCGTCAACTGCGTCCTTGAATTTGCTGCAGACAGATATCATCATACTCAGCATGCTTATTGACAAATCACACCCAATAAATACAACTCACCAGTTGCCAAGCTCTCATCCTCAGCACCTTTACCATAAGACTAAACGATTGGTCTGAAACTCTCCACCCGAGCCTTGATTATTTTCATCCTCCACCAGTCCACAACAAGTCTATGCCAAAAAATTCTCCACGTTGCACTGGCCTCCATACAATTGAAGTCAGGAGTGCTGACAAACAGTCGACCGACTGACCTGTACTTGTATAAGAGAACAACTGGACCGAAGATTTCTTCTTTCCGTGCATCGGCTTCGAGAGGCACGTCTTCGATGATCGTGGGGTATAGAAATGATCCCTTCCTATTTCCACCGATGAGCAGCTTGCCTCCCATGGAAACTGCATCCTTTATCCATTTCTCCACGCCCTCGGCCGCTGATTCTGATATCATAGGACCCATCATCGTATCCTCTTCCATGGGGTCCCCTACTTTATACTTCTTCACTGCTGCAAGAAGAGCTTCCTTGACCTGCAAGTGAAGCAAAACCATAGTTTCATTTTCATTTTCACACCCATTCTCTCTACTTCCAGTCACACCAACCTTCGATACGGAATCTCGTGAATAAATTACTCGGAGGTTAGTTTATAGCGGCAGCTTGGCTTGAACATACCTGATCATATATTTGATCTCTAACATATAGCCTTTGCATGTGAATGCATGACTGCCCACATTGATAGAATCCTCCGATCATCAGCCTTGAAATTGTTCCATCGAGATCAGGAACCAGATCTTCCACTATACAAGGTGCATTACCTCCAAGCTCCATCACAACCTGAACCGAGATATCATCAACACAAATGAGGAAACCTTCAGCGGTGGTTACAAAGTACATGCAGCATCTTCACTTCTGATTTTTCACTATTACACCAACTTCGAATTCTTAAGCAGCGAGCTAGGGGATCGGTCTAGCTGACCTTCTTCTTTCCTGCTCGAGCTTTCATGCCCCATCCGGCAGATCCTGAGCCCGTGAAGGTCAAAAGCTTAAATCGCTCGTCTGTGGTGAAGAGGTCTGCCTCTGTTCGTGAGACTGGAGTGATTGAAAAAGCTCCCTTCGGTAGCTCTTCGCACTGAGCCAAAATCTGTCCGAGTATCAAAGCGGATAGCGGAGTCCGGCTGCTTGGCTTTAGCACAAACGGGCAGCCTACTGCAATGGCTGGGGCAACTTTGTGGGCCACTAGATTGAGAGGAAAATTCCACGGACTGACCATGGAAACAGGGCCAATGGGAAACTTTCTGACGATTCCCTGTGAAATCACCACCAGATCCATTGTCAGCCTTTAAAATATAATACTAGCTGATTACAAGTGCAGAGGTGTTCAGAAACTAGTCAGAACGAGAATATGAGACTCTTGTTCATAAGAAGTAGCACTGGACAAACATTAAACTCGGTGGTTTCCACCATATAGTAAGAGAAGATCACCAAATGATACTAGAAATAATGAGTCTTCTGCAAGTCCATTTGCTCTTCTCTGCAATGAGACTGATATCATATCACAGGATTTGACTCTTCTGGATTTCGAAATTAGCTGATCAGTGAGGCATTCTGAAGGGCTGACGTACTTGGAGACCCTTGTTACGGGCAGAAATGTCCAAGGGCATATGCTCTCCATTAATGCGCGTTGCTTCCTCTGCAGCAACTTCAAAAGTATCGATCGACCGCTGCACTTCAGCTCTGGCGTCCTTGATGGCTTTTCCAGACTCCATAGTTATCACTTTTGCGATCTCCTCAGCTCTGTTGGTCAACTCCACAACAACCTGGAAACCGGTGGTTCAATCAGCTCAGATCTCTGAAATGATTCAGCACGCAGGACGACAAGATTCACGACATACTTTTGTTCTTTACAGTGTATCTTTCCCTACTCTGAAACATGCTGCAAGCCGAGCACTCTCTATTATTTTGAACTCCGATCATCCCTCTCAGAACCTAGCAAAATGAAAACTCTTTCTTTGACAAAGATAAAATCAGGTTCTTTCAGCTGATAATCTCATTAGCTCCAAGTGCCCCCACTTATTCAACTAGTACGTCCAGGAAATCTACTGAAAGTACCTTCTTGAGGACCGCCTTGCGTTGATAAGATGGCATGGCGGCCATGGCTGGGGCTGCGCCGACACAAGCCTGAATTGCTTCCTCTATATCCTCGGGAGTGGCCAGGGGCACTTTGGCTTCTGCTCAGAGCGCACATTGAACCGGATGTTAACATCTCACCACCGAAGCATGCATGCGTGCCTGTGCTATCAGATTTCACACCCAGAAGGCATACAGAAACAGCGAACGCGGAGGACTTTCGAGGCCACGCTTACCAACTTTGCCGGTGAACTTGTTTTCCACCTCGAGGTACTTCTCTCGGTCGCTATCCCGGGGGGCATTGGCGATGTACAGGTGGTACAACTGGACGTGCCCGTTCTCCATTTCGGAAGGACTTCTTTCGACCCCCATCTCCCGAACGATCTCACGGTTCAACGAGGTCTTGTAAACCTGCTCAAACTTGGCCGCGGAGCCGAAATCCCTGATTCCTGCTCTGACTCTCGCCAAGCACGGCGATGCCAACGACACCTTCTTCGCCTTCAGCTGAGCTCTTCCACCGAGTCCGAGTCCGGGTCCGAATCCGACACTTCTGAGAGGGGATGGAATTGCAGAGCAGGTCGGCAGAAGAGCATAAGTAGTAGGCTGTTGCTGCATCAAGAGCAGCGCTTTGCGCCCCTGAATTCGCATCATCTTGTCCTCGAGGGCTGCGAACTTTCGACAGAAGCACGAAGCCTTTGAGACCCGAAGCCGAGCAAATGAACGAGCGGGGCCATCTGCCAAATCCGCTCGCTGCCACGCTGCCCGGCATGCCAAGTGGCCGCCCGCCACGTGCCGCGCTGGCGCCCCAGACCTCCCCGCTGCACACGTTGCACTCCGCCCGTTGCGCACCGAGTGTGCAAGTCAGTCAGTCGGTCGTAAGTCAGCCGGTACGCAGTCGACGATCGATTGCATGCTCCTTCTTTCCTTCTTCAGCCGGTGGCGTGAGTGAGCTATGGACATGTCCGTTGACGATTGACATTCTTTGAGTGTGACATGAATGCTCTTTGCAATGGAGCAGGTCGTAGAAGCTCTCTGTGCATACGTCATGTTGTATCAGAATTTGGCGTAGAGTTATGATTGCTGCCGACAGTCGTTCTACAAGATGCGGATCTTGCAGATCGGACTGTTTGTCTCATCGTCTTTGGGAAAGGCTGGTTCAGTATGTGTGTACTGTACTGTACTCGAAGGCACGAGCCACCGAGTGAGTGAGTGAGGGAATGAGTCGGTCGAAACTCGATTTGCGGCTCTTGTGCAGCTGCTATTGGCACGTGTGCACCGTGCACCGTGGTTAAGAAGTCTAGAGGCAGTGTGGTTAAGAAATTTGCAACAAATGTAGGACAGCACAGGGCCTCGGAGCCCCACTGCTTGTGCCTCCCCCTTCAGAAAAGAGATGAATCAGTGAACCCTTCTGGTTTATGCGTTCCTGGTTTCCATTCGTTTCAGGACACATGCTCTTGCATGTCTTAGACGATGTTTTGTTAATCTGCTTGTTACTACGTTCCTGGTAATGGTTGCAAAGACTATAATATCCTAGACAGTGAATCAACTTCAGGGGTTGGCCAGCCCTGAATGAACACAAACGACCCCATGCTACTTTTACCATGAGGTCGAGATGTGGCCTCCGGACTTTCGTCTTCAAGATACTCTGGCCACCCCTATGTTGGTTCGGTTGCGTAGGGCTCAGAGGCGTGTTTACGAACTAGAGATTAGAAGTTGGTCGCAGATTTTGGACGGTGGGATAGATTGTTCGTACCTAGACTGCCCTTATGCAAGATTTCTTTTTCTTTTTCTCGAATTTTTTCCCCTTGTATATTGCTCTCTTCCTCAGGTTTGCTAAGAACCGGGAGGCATCTTTTCAACGCTTTGCAGACGCGAAATGGGTTCCATGCTCGTATGTGGTTAGAGAAGAACGCAAAATCTCAGATCCTTCCTGAAATTAAATTACCTTCTCATTACTAATGGAGAAGGTAGATTAACTTCAAGGAGTCAGGACAATCTCCAGCAGAACGCTGGAGATTGTCCTGACTACATGCAAAGACTCGTATTTTTTAAAACTACAGGCATGGCAGACCGTGACATCTTTTAACACAAACCAAGTATAAGGTCTGTCAATATTGGTTATGTTCACCTTCAATTACAACTAACTTGTTGCTACTCTTCCTCGCGTTTCATACAGAATTTGGTATCACTTGATGTCATAAGGGCAAACGCTTTGACTAGTAAGAATACAAATACCACAAGATACCACAAGTTTGGTACAAGGCAAGCAGATGAACTAAGGAACATACCACTCGTCACATGCCCATCAAATGAAGTGACTCATTCGGCATTTGAGTTCCTGGATATTAGAACAACTACGGCAATAAGGACTCAATGCAGATATCTCAAACTCACCTGCAAAGTTGTACTAATTCAAGGTACCAGGTACGGAAGGTGACAAAAGGCTATAGGACACATGAAGGTCGCATGATTTGAAGTTAAGTTGGATGAAAAATGAGCAATTTTTATTTTATTAAAAGAATGTATTTACACCTAAAACCCATTACCCATTACCCATCCCCCATCCATGACGACGGTCAAAACTGTGAGTACTTTCTTCGTCCTACTTCGCGGCCTTCAGAAGACTCCAAGGAGGAACCTGTCAACAAAAGACCCATAGACGTCAGATTTCAACACTTGTCAGACGTAGATAACTGCCCTCGAATCGTAAATCTTGTAAATAATGTTATAATATTACAAAAGCTCCCCTGCCTGTCCAACTCTAACTGGCTGAAAGCATAAACTTTCTAACCTCGCACAAAGCACCCAAATTCAGAAACGTTCAGGGATTTGCAACTAGTTTATAAATAAATCATACTTCAAGCGACAGTAGAGGTGAACTGACCTTTATATGATGAGGAAGGCACTTCAAATCGTAAGGCGTGTAAAGCCATGGTTCACTATCAGAAGCTACTAGATTCTCCAAGCGGCTAGTGTATACATCAGCATACCTCTGCACATTATATGCAAATGCTGATTCTTTTCCAGTATCGGTTAAAAAGCAGGATCCAAAATAGTTATTAAACTGAGCTCTCATCGCCACTCTTGAGTTCTCCCGCTCCTTCCGTAACGCTGCTAGTAGAAGCTGTTCTTCATTACCTTGTTGACAGGCTTCAGGTAATTTATGATATTTGCCCATTAGTTCCTGGACAACATTGTACTTCGCCTGGATTGTAATCAGAACAATGGCATTCGTCAGCAAGTAGAATTGAAGTTTACCATCCAGGCCAAGGCCTGCCACGCAAAAAAGAATATCGATGGGAGGGTAAGAAAGGAAGTATGTTCCAACCTCCACAAAAGCTTTTGTGCCCAAAGTCAATGGCAGATTTTCACTTATTTAAGATAGTCAGACATGTAAGTAAGTTAACCTACTTGCTGGAATCGATATTCGGGTTCATTTTGTGTCATGATCTCCCTCTGCACAAACGATAAAGGATTAACCAAACAAGGTCCCCCAAGGAATAAAAGTTCTTAGCTATTAATCCAAGCCAAACTTCTAAAATTAACTCGAACAGCGAGTTTCTTGCACAAGTCAAATATCGATCTGAACACCAGTAAGAGCATTTTACACGTAGTTTTTTGCAATCAGAAGCTACTCAGATTTGAGAACTGAAAGCTCTTAATCGCTCTATATTTCAGACTTAGTACAAACTTCAGATTCTCAACCAACAGCATAATACTCATTCGCAGAACAACTTGTACGTGTTATTCACGAACTTGGAAATCAATGTCCTCTGATTATCTCTCCACAAAAGGAATGACGTAATACAAACAAAATCATAACAATTGCGGAGTACCAAATACCTCCAACTCCCGAATTATGGCAACTGTTCGCCAACCAGCCTTAGCAGGCCCTCTTAAATCAGTATAGAGATGGTCACCACAATAAAGAACCTGCGGTTATCAAAAAGTAACCATACTTGATCAACAAATTTATAGCAATTTCTATTGTTCCATCTTCTAATTCAACTTATTCACCTGCCATGACTATATCAAGATAATAGAATCAAGTCATCATTTGAATGTAACAGGAGCTAGAAGCAAGGTTTGATCTAACGACGGATTGAAATAAAGCCGTGTCGAGCTGTAAGTTACACAAAAGCGAGGGTAGACCAGTCAAAGAAAAGGTGTACAAACTACCTAGACGTTTACACTGCTTGAGTATCAAATCGAGAAGGGGTCTTGCAATTGACTTACCTCTGATCCTCTCCACTTGGTGAGCTCCAAAAACTCTTTCAGACATCCATGGTAGTACACACTATGTTCTTTGAAGTAATTCACCTTCTTAAATGCCAGCATGTCCGTCCTAGTATTGTAGTGTCTGTGATATGCAAGAGTTAGCAACTCGTAGCACTGAGTTGATTCAAACATAGATTCTCTCATGAACAAAAAGACTTGATATGCGGATTTTTGTATTCCGACTGCTTTACCTAAATGGGCGCTCTGACGTATAGAAAGTTGGCTTGTCTGCAAGAGCCACCACCACATCGAAGAGCTCACGCCAAGATTCCCCACCCATTCCATCGTCCTGTAGGCAACGTCAATGTCGCATAAGAACGATCCAGCAATTCGAATATTTGAAGGCAAAAAAAAACAGATATAAGACCCTTCTGCTGAACTCTCCGAGAGTGGAAGGAAAGTACCTGGAATAAGAAACGCATGCCGCCATTCACAAAAGGAAAAGGAGAATTCGTCAAAATAAATAATTTCTTCCCTTTCGCTTTCAAGGTCTTCAACATTTGTACAACTGCATCCTGTGAACAATTACGACTGTGTCAAACGTGCGATTGGTCACAAAGCTTCTAAAAGAATCTCAAAACTCATACCAAACGTGCAGTTTCAAAACATGGTCATATTTGAAGACTAAAGTTACCAGACTTTGTCTTTCTATCTGAAAGCAAGCTACAAGAAGAAAGCGTTAAGTTACACATCTCTCCTATCCACTCACATTTTTTACAAGGTACTTCGCTGCGTTTGAAAGCACTTCTCGCCGCATAAGGCCACTCCGATGGACATAGTTTATTGAACGCTTCACATCGTCGTATACGTATGCAGAATCAAACTCCATATCTTGATCAACGAAGTGCTGGATGACATCTGAGATTAGACATGCCTGCCAACAAGAGTTGTCCCCAAGATTCATAATGTAAGAAAGTAAGTACATGCAAAACTATTGGCTAATCAGGGCTCAGAATAAAAGAAAGAGCAGTGGAGGTTGATAAACTTTCTGAAACGATGAGACAAAGAGCGAAACAACTCCACTTTCTTGCCATGTTCTCGAACTTCAAAAAAACTTCAAAATTGCAAGGCGCGACCTTACCTCTGATAGACAGAACAAGTCCATGAGAGCAACCAAATTTGGTATATCTGACACACTGATGTGCTTGCCGCCATATTGTTGCTCGATTTCTTCTCTACTAAGCTAAACAAAGACAAAAGTCAATATTATGGCCATATACGTAGTTTTATTGGACACATAAAATGTAGAACCCTCTTCCAACTATTCAAAAGAGAACCATCAACTGCGTAAGAAGTGAATATACCACAAGACTGAGCCAGCACTGTAAGCATTCCGTTAAGCAAATCTGACAGTGGTCGTATGATCCAGGTAGATACAGATGTTAAGAATAGGTCATCCTGAACTCAAGGTTCAGGGACCCGTTCAGAAGACTCCAGAGTCTTATTGGACAAAGTACACACAAAAGTACATGCCTGTACTTGCCTGACAATCATATACCCTCTTTGGACTAAACTAGATTACAAAACATAACGCAAACGACTTACTCGGCGACGTCCAAAGAAACAACCATGCGGCTCGACAGAGTGGAAAAAGTCCAGCTTCAGAAGATTGCCATGCTTTTTGTCATAATAAAGACCTCTAATAGGGAACTGCGGGTCGTACTTGAAGTTCAAACAACTCTCTGGATACCTGTACTGTTTGTCACATCCAAAACCAAGCGCAAGCTATGAGCTAGTTGAAGTGCTTCCTGCATGTCGGGATGAAGAGAATACGTATTCTCACAACTGGTGTCCATATATTAAGGAGCGAAAAAACCCTTTAGAATTATAACCTCACATTATCAAAGCCAAGTTACTGCGTAACAGATAACAGTCTACTGAGATTCATCATATCAAATATCGTAATAGATAGAGTTATTATTGGCCATTGTCCTGTTAGACCAGATCTCTTTCACTTGTTCACTGTACTCCAATAAATAAAACCATCGTTTGCTTTTGAAGAGTTACAGTCAATGTACTTGAAGCAATCAATCTATACAGAGAAGTGGATGGAGATTCCATCCTCTATTTACTGATTGTCACCTCGTATGCAAAATCCCTTTAGAAACCTTGACATTTGTTACGTTTTACCTCCTTCACGAGATGTTCCTTCGCAAGGTCGTATATCAGAGTTTGTAGAGCTCTAGTATAATGAGCCAAAGTGTAGTCATAATCAAACCCATAAACCTTGATCTGATCAAGGCGAAGATTATAGTTCGCATACACACCTGGAAACAGACTATTTATAAGTTTCAAAACACTGGAAGATCACTTGCAAGTCGAGGAAATAACACAAGCTCCACAATTTCAAGAGTTGCAGTAGTATACTACTCAGAATTTCTCAACAATAACCAACCTTGTTGTGAGTCTTTTTCATTGAAGAACAGCTTCAGGTACACGGTTTAAAATTAGAGTAATGCTAGAGGCTTACCATTTGGATTCATTTTGGGTAATTCCCGTATTGCCTCTGATATATTTGAGAAACCTCTGCAAGCAGCCTCGAACTCCGCTTTCAGCTGTGTACTATCCTTCAGAGTTCCCTCGTCTTCCCATTTTGGCCTGTCATTTTCTTCCGTTAACTCATCTGAAGAGTAGCCTCGGGATAGAAAGGCATTCAGAAACTTGGGACGCCAAGGCCTTTCCCAAACAACACCCACAGAACCAACTCTCTGTGAACTCCCTCGACAAGTAGGAAACACTGACGTGCAATTTGAAATACTTCTGACCATCTGCTGATGGCGATTGAAGTGATTTCGTGCCCACGGTGCCTGCTAATGATCGAGTCACAAATTTAGTACAGACCTTTCCGTTCATAGCTTCCTTCTTACATAAGAATATTCCATGTCACAAAAGTAAGCGAATAGAAGTCGGATACGTTTGCTTTTAAGTACAACAAAAGACTGATATAAATTCCGACACACGCGCTTTATCGAACAGAATATGGGCATGAGTGTGCTACGATCATCGTCATTATCTTCCTAAGATAACAAGTGGGTTTGATGTACACAGAATTATTAGGGAGATCATACACGCGATCAGAAAAACACGGAAGTCTTCACCAGTGCAGAAGAACTGGTGTACAAATATAATTCTATGAAGAGCGCAATGAATTACATGAATTCAGACCACAGTACATCCAGTACCAGAGTTTCAAAGAGTCCTACAAGTAGTGTAAGAACTTTTCAATTACGGAGGGACGAATTCGTTGGCGTGGACGGAAGCTCAGGGTCGATCGCAGATCGTGAAAACAAGGCATTCTAGCCAGGTACACCGGAGCCTGAGAATTAGAACCCTAACATGCGGAACAAAAAAATTACCTGACGAGCCTGAAACTGGAGGATCCCAGAAATGCCACGCTCAAGCATCTTGGAGGCAGAGTCCAGATGTTCTCTCTCCCCGGATTTCCAAGCTCGCCTGGCAGCAGCCCCCAGCGTCGACAGTGCTCTGTCCTGTCTCATCTTCTCAGTCGCTCAAAAACTCAGATCAAACTCACGGAAAATCCAGAAAACGTTCGAGAGGGGGCCGATCGCGAAAATGCAACCGGACCTGTTCCTCCTCCAATTCACAATTCAAAAAAGCGCAATTTTCCGCCACCTCCCCTGCGAGGAGGAGAACGAGGCACCTGGAGCCCGATCGACACTTTTTGTGTGATTTTAGCACGACAGGTTGTCGCGGTCGAGTCGAGGCGCATGTCGCCGACGGGCTCGTGCCCGATGACTGAAGGCGATCGCGTCTCTGCTCTCTGCGCTCTCGGACATTCTGTTCTGTTCTGTTCTGTTCGTGCAGCGTCAGAGCGCAGAGCGCAGAGAGAAACTCGTCCGTCTCCGGTCCGCTCTCACATTTCGCGCAATGGATGGCCAGCTGCTCCGCCACATCCGCGCCCAAGGACTGCCCGTTCCCGGTCCAGGCTCTGCCTTGGATTGAAAACAAGAGTACAGAATAGTAGTTCGTGAAAACCATGCACATATCAGTAAAATGCTGTATACCTATTCCTTTATTTTACAGTTCGCAATTTCTTTCGGAAAATTAAATACAATTTTGATAGTATGTTTCTCTTTCTGATTTTATTGCTTATGATTTTATGAAATAATTTCGAAAAAAATTGAAATTTTTATGTTATTCAAAATGAAATAAAAATTATAAATAAGTTGTCTGGAATGTTCACATCGACATGTTTTTAAGTTCTTATTTTCTGATCATGCCCAAAGATGTTAAGCAATTGCATCGGTTTTGCAACAGATTTGAAATCATCAACATGGACATAATATTTATATGCAAATCTACTATCTCGTAAATCAAACAAGTATAATAGTGATATAACTATGTGATCTTCTAAATTTGAATCAATACATATTTTTTATACTTGAAAAAAAAAATTTTAATAATTTGATAGAATTTTTTAATTATTTGAAATTAAAATTTTGATATTACAGATCCTCAAAAATAATCAGTCATCGAAATTTTTTTCTTACAATTATATCAGAAAACATCTGGATATTCTGATATCTAACAAATTTGGAAAAAAAAACTCAATTTTCTTTTTCTTGGAAAATAGGATTTGAAATTATATATTGTGATTTAATTTTTATTAATAGTCATGTCATTTAAATTTTATTAATATATTTCAATTTTACAACGACTATATACATGAAAACGAAAAATATTTCTGTATAATTAAAATTTCTAGTGCAGTGAACAAAATGTCAGTCAACATATCAATGAGGAGGCTTCATTAAATATTTTAAATCATATTAAAATATTATATTAGTTAAGCTCATCCTGATGGTATCAATTATTCTATCAATTATTATTTTGTTTTTTTTTCAAGGTTAAAAAAAATTATACAGTCATTTTAATTTTATTTTTTTAATTTAGATTTTTTTACATTCATGAAATTTTCAAAAAATTTAATTTTCAAAGGTCAGATTCACACTCTTAAATTTTATAATTTTATATCTTAAATTAATATATATTTATAAATTTAAGCAATTAATCTCCATTCATCATGACAAAAAACCTCAATAATATGATTTATCATCACTAGATTTTAAAAGGTGAGTTATAACATAAGCTTAGTGTTAAAAAAATGGATTTTAGTTTAAAAAATTAGATTTATTTATTAATATTTTTTAAAATTCATAAATATATATGTAAAAACGAAATTTAATTCTATTTATCATTTAAAAAATTTCACTAATTCAAAAACTAAAAATTGCACTCATTTTTCTGGTTTAACAACATGTTTCATCATATATGGAAGAACTAATGATAAAAATGAGGTTGTACAAGTGGCAAATCTAACTATAATGTATGTAACTATGAATTTATATGAAAAATGGGTATATATTATGATTTATAATTGAAAGTTAAAATCGTCAATTTTGTTTTAAAGTTACAAATTTTGACTATTGTTAGTATTAATTCAGGTCTAAATTTAACTTTTATAACTGAACTCCAGTTAAGTTCAGTTGACAGTTCTAATAAATGAGAGATGTCAAAAGCTCTACTAGAACATTTTTAAGTTTATCGTAGTGAATACTTCTGATTTCCCTGAATGTACTCCGGAGTGACAATCACTCCGGGCTACAACCACGTAGGCTTCTTTGTATGCGTGTGAGCATTTACTTATGCTGTTTTGTATCTGCGTTTTTGTGTTAATATAGTTTTTGGTGAAAAAACTTGCAACAACTACTGATTCTGTATTGCGTACATTCAATACATAACATATTGCTATCAAAGTGTGTATACTAGATATTAAAAAAGTGATATACTATTTTGAATCACAGTTATAATTTTATCAGTAGTAAAGACTATACATATCACAGAAAAGTATTGAAATTTTTAGAATTTTTTTAAAAAATAAATTCATTTATTTTTTCCATTTACGGAAAAATACTATTATATTATTTAATTAAGAGATAAAAATTAAAGAAAAATTTATAAAATTATTGTTAATAATTTTGAAAACATTTTTTATTTTTATGTATTTCTAAAATTTAAATTTTTTGAACATTTAAAAAAATTTTACTACAATATCATATTTTAAAATTTTTACTTTAAGTTTTATAAGTTTTAAAAATACATAATTGAGATAGAATTCTAATTTATTTACTATTTTATTATATTATAAATACTTCTTGATAAAAAAACATAATGTAATGATCATGTTGATTTAAAAAGTTTACTTTCAACAATGTGCTTCTAATGGTTAAAAAAAAATTGTTGATTTAAATAAGCAATGGCTCAATTAATTCACTTCAAAATTTTTTCAGAAATTTTCAACAAATTATTTTATAAATAAATATATATATATATATAATCAGAATCCAAAATTTATCATAATCAAGATAAATTACATATAGTTTTATTATTCTTAAAAAGTAAGATGAAAACATATAATATATAACGCGAATGCTACATTAATATATTTTTTAACACTTGTACAAAACATGTCTAGAATTTAGTTCGGTGGCTACAATAGCTAAGTGTGTTTGGCAAATCTTTTGAGTTTTTCAATATTTCAATTTTTTTATCAACAATTTCATGTTTGATCTTAGATGATATTTACTTGGTTGATACTTATGTTAATTGCCTCATTTATTTTTGTTAGTAATTTTATTGTCTATGACAATAAAAATTTGTATCATATCATTTAAACTTTTTTTTGTAAGATTATCATTTAAACATTTATTTTGTGATGAGAAGGTAGTGTTTTTTTATTCTTTGATTTCAATAAATACCAGATCAAACATTCTAAATGGTTGTAATTAAACTCTCAAATATTATAGAGTTTATCACTAATGTAGAGAAGACCTAAGAATTATTTTGACACATCTTATTATATATCTTATTAATCTTTTCACAAATATATTATACATAAGCACCACATAAATTCAAACAAACTCTACTTAATCACTCAGGTACACATCAAAGCTCAAAAGAAGCAAGAGAAACCTTCCTCTTCCTTCATCCAAGTTTTGCTCGAGCAAAGAACCACATTAGTTGCACTTTCTACTCTTCAACATACACATTAAACTAATTGGGGTTCCGTATCAAAGTATATGGACAAAGCCATATTTTGTGGAGCTAACGGCCGTAACGACACTCCGAGTGAATATCACCTCCATTACGATGACAATCACATTGATCTATTTTCTCTTGAATGCGCACACTTATCATACAAAAATCATAATTACATTGACATGTAAGTCTTTCTTTGGCTATAGAGATGTATGGAGACTCGACGCAAGATCAAGACTTATCATGAGAGTAAATAGTTGCACTCTTTCTCTTTTGGCTTGTCGGGAAGATTTCCCTTCGACTTTGTGGCATCTGCTTTGTTTTCTCCTCATAGTTTGCCATAGTTCTTCTACTCGAGTGCCTCCCCATCGTTTTGACCAACTGCCATATATGAAAAAAAATACCTTGTTATGTCTTATCATGAGATTACAATGCTTTGACATACGCATTTTTTAATAAATATCTTAATCAAGCCTCATTTTAGACTAAACAAGATGTCCCCCACGAAGTGCTAAGGATCACACTGGAGGATGCAAATCTAATCTGAACTCAAAATTGTAAGAGTGGAGGATGGCAGATATGTGCTACGAAGGATACCTCAGTGCAACATCATGCAGTCTGAAACTATTGAAGGAATATAACGTGAGGATTTGAGTAATTCTCAATGCATGTGACTGGCAGTGGAGTCGAGTGTGGTGTGCAGAACAGCAGGGCATCCAGCTACATCTAGGAAGTTCAGACTGACGAGCAGGAATCAACTTTGTCCTCTACTAGTATTTCGAGATGGGACACCAGAAAGCAAGCAGACTTGATGTCATTCGAAAAAGTGTGACGAGCCTGAGACGTCTACGCAAGAAGGCAGATTGTGAATGAGTGGGCATCGACTATCGACTTAGGGTTCATGTTATAAAGCTTGACTCGATGCCCTCAGGTTTGGACTCAGAAAGCTGCTTTGTCCTGCATGGCTTCCACAGAGTTTCCAAAGGGAAGAGACAGCAGATCATACTCAATTCACGTCACTCAGAAAATATTAAAGATTCACCCGTTCTTTCTTTATCGATGCTTATTTTGAGATGATCTAATGTTTGCCTACAGTCCACTACATGTTGGAGTTGTAGTGAAACAAACCGAGGATGGGCCCCACTCAATAATGTGGTTCTTGCACGGGCCACCAACCCAACTCACGACATTCCAGTGTACAGGAGATTCCAAAAATCCCACTACCTGCGTGGAGATCTTGGAGCATGGATATAACTCATAGAAAGAAACTCGTCATCGGTTACATTCTGGTGAAAATTTCGTTACTGTTGAAACGCCACCGATAGGCAAGAGCACGAGATAGGATTGACCTCAGGTTTCAGAATCACTTCCACAGTCTCCAAACAGCAATTCTCAGAATGTGCATATCAGAGCCCAACATTGGGTGCCCATGCCCATGGGTTTAGGGTGGGTTTTGGGTGACATTATTTTGCCATGGGTGGGCACAAGTAATGCTAAGGGGAGTGTTTGTCAAGATCCCACCAAGAATCTGCGCAATTTGAGTAGCATGGGTGGACAAAGGTATGGGTGGGCATAGGTCGCTGGTGATGGTTAGGTCTGGGTGCATATTTGAAGTGAAATGTTGGCCTCTGGTGCATATAGAAAATAAGTGGTTCAGTTGAGGGAGACTACGTGAACGCGGCACACATAAAACAATATATCGAAACTTTAAATTTCTATAGAAAATTATTAACATCACTTAACATGAAAAAATAATTCAATCGATCAAATTACGTGAAATTGTGTAATATTTTAATGAACTACTAAAAATCCACTACATACGTACGATCACAAAAATGAAAATATGTAGTTTACTTGGATCACTAAGGGGGGTTTAGTCACTTGATTTGAAACATTACGTATGTCCTGGAAAACTACAATTCCATGAAAAACTTAATTCTCTGTGGGACACGCTGGACAGCTAAAACTAAACTTGCAGTTGATGTTGAATGCCATAGCTTGAAGTTGACGTAAGTAGCTCCGAGGAACCGAGATGCAGCGAAAGTAGACTGATCAATAGTGGGGTACAGAATGCCAAGGGCGTTGAGGTTGTCCACCAGTAGAATTTAATCGAGACAGAAACAATGCTTTGACTTTTTGGCTTCTGATGTGGAGTAAAAGTTTTTCAATTTATCGGTCGCTGGGAGATGACTCGCCATAGTTTCGTGCTTGTCATCGACGCAGCCGAGCTCACAACATTTCAGTCGAGGAGCGAGATTCCTTGTCTTCATTGGCCTGATGATTCTCGGGAAACAGTAAGAAACTTTTGGACTAATATAAACTGCTCGTCGATCCAAAAGGAGGCACCTTCTGGCCCAGAGAGGGAGAAAAGTCAATAATTATGAGCATCGCCCTTTTTCTTTTGCATGAGGGATGGCCATGAGAACAGGCATGCCGAGGACGCCAATGTACGGGGCGAAATTTTATGCCTCTTTCTGCGGCCCCATTCATGAAGCTTTCTTTGCTTTTGCTCCTAAAAAGACGAACTAGACTATCGAGCATGTCGAGCATCGTCAAAGCTCTGATTCGACGTGGACCCAAGTGTTGCTAACCTCCCTGCTCCGTGTGCAACTTGTTGGAAAATGCACAAGTCTGCAAATTCAGCAGCCAGCGGTTCTCAAGGTGAAAATGTGCATCGTTCAGTGAAGACGTTTCAAGATCAATTGATAATCAATTGATCTTGAAAACCAAGCAGCTTGCGAGATCAATTTATTTTTCTCATCAATAAAAGGTTCGAAATTAAATTATTTTCCTAATTAAATAGGAGACCATATATTTAGTTGTTTTTGTATCTGTCTAACACAATTAGCTAAATCTACAACTCCCATAGGAGTTGTAGAAATATGAGGCAATCCAAATTCTTGTTCTAAATATAAAGCTGTTATTAATCCTACTTCACGATAAGGTACTAAGTTAACCAAGCTTTGGGCACTTCATGCAGATTTTCCACAAAACCCCCTTCAGGAATTTGCAGATACCCTCGGGAATCATGGTTCCTTCCAATTTTGGTCTGTACTTAGAAATTTTTTATAGAGATTTTTCCATCCGGGAGCTCGAATTCTCCCGCTAACTTGAACGATGTCAACGTCGTTGACAACTTTTCTTTACCTCCAAATTGGCACCGGTTAGTCAAACAGAGAGGAGACGCGGCAGAGAGTTGGGCACTCGAATTATTGTCGATCTGAAGGAACTCTGATCGAATCTGTCGAAGAAATTTGCGACAGGCGAGCATAAAGGGGGCCCGGGTGGGTCAGTTGGAAATCTGACGCGAGAAACCGTCTTAGAATCCGCTACCATTGCATCGAGCTCACGACGTTTTCATGAGTTCATGTGGACGAGTTTGGCAGCCGCCAATTTACCAGATCCGGGAAGCTGCTTATCTAAAATGGCGGAGATCCTGCCGCGCGAGCTGGTCGGCTGCCGGATGGCCGGAGAAGACAGCGGGGACGGTCATTACGTCACTTCTTATGCGGCCCCACCACGAGGGAGCACGCCCTCACTGACTGACTGACGGCCATGGCTGCTGCTGCTGCTGCTGCTGGAGCTGGGCGCTAAAGCTTGGAGGAGTGAGTGGGGAAGGGTGGCGAGAGTGGAGGGACACGAACGAGGAAAAGCAACAAGCGCTTGGGCATCGAGGAGGAAAGATCGTTGATCGAATGGTGGTTGGCTCGTTTGCCTCGCAGGCCGACCTCGACCTCGAACGAACCCGGCCACCACCACCAGCTCCAGCTCCACCACGAGCAATCAGCTGCAGCTGCTGCAGCAGCAGGGCCCAGCCCCGAGCCGTCTGTGGGACCGAGCTGATCACGCGGCACTCGCTGGCTCTGCTGGTGGTATTCAGGCACCACTGAGCTCTCATCCAACGAGGAGGAGGAGGAGGGCGAGCAGCAGCAGCAGCAGCCCAGCAAGGTGAGCGAGTCGTCCCGTCCTGCATCTGGTTTCTGAAGTGAGGCTGTCAGTCCAAACATTCGCCTTTCCTCGAGGTCCTCTCGTTCAGACATCGATCGTTCTGTCTGCTCTCGTCTCGTAACGCATTCTCGCGTCGCTGCCTGAGGCTTGCACGGAGCCGAGGCTCGCGCAAGAGGTATGCCCACTCGCGTTTCGTAGTCTGAGCCTAGGTCGTGACGCTGGCGTTTTGTAAGCTGCCGCCCTGCCCTGCCCTCCCCCATGGCGTCCGCGCCGTGGGCGAGTGCTCGTCAGAAGAGTTCGTGTCATCAGGAGGAATAAAATCCATCCGTCTCGACGAATGTGACTCGATTGGACCAGGATTCTTGCGGTTTAGATCATGCATAGTGTACATGGTGCATGTCGCACGGGGCTCTACCATCAGATGGTGGGACTGGCTCGCCGTGCAGTGACTGGAGCTCGGTCAGTCGCAGGTCTTAAAACGATTGCAAGGTGATAGGAAGGTGTGAGCATCGGGGATGACATTACCATCACGCGTGACTGATTCTTGTGTCGTGTACTGTGTCGGACAATGCAGAAGAAGTCGATCAGAAAAGGAGTCGAATTGGAGCGACCATGGCGTCCGAGATCGCAGCCGCGACATGGCTGACAGTGCTGATGGCACTGGTGGCATTTCTGAGCGCCGAGGGCCGCAACCTTCTGGCGGAAGACACGCCCGCCACCAAGACTAAGAACAAAACCGTCGAAGAAATCCTCACGTACGAGACCTTCAATGGCATCTTCCCCCACAGGAACGACCCGCTCTCCAAAGCGCAGGGCTTTTACACGTACGAGTCTTTCATCCAGGCGGCGGGCATGTTCAAGGACTTCGCCACCGTGGGCGGCGAGCAAATGCAGAGGCGCGAGCTCGCTGCGTTTTTGGCCCACGTCGCTCGCGGAACCACATGTAAAATCCTCTTCTGCTCACTGTGGCTCCCGAAACCTGGCAATGTCGCATGAGATTGAGCCCGATAAGATGACCTAGGCTCGAGGTTTGCGTCGTCCATCTTTTTTGGTTCTCCTTCCGACGAAAGCTGTCGTAAACTCGTCGATGTCGTCATGCCATTGCAGGTGGTTTCTCCAAAGCCACAGACGGTCCTTACGCCTGGGGTCTGTGCTACTACCAAGAGCTCTCCCCATCCAGCCTCTACTGCAAGGACGACTTCAACTATCCCTGCGTGGCCGGAGTGAGTTATCACGGTCGTGGAGCCTTCCCCATCTACTGGTAAGCGTCAATCAGTCATCTCATCTCTCAGATGTGATTTCTCGCAAGCTGCGCATGTTTCTCAACTCATTGTTCCACCGAGAACCTGGGGAATGTGTGCGTGCGTCTGTGATTGTGATTAGGCTGATGATAGGCTTGTGCATTCCATGGGGGCGGGCACTCGGTCTGAGTGGGTGGCCATCGAGGAAATGTGTAGATACTTGGACGTCTTTTGGGGCCGTCTCGATTCTGAGCTTGGTCTGTTGCAGGAACTACAACTACGGGCCCGTAGGCAAGGCTCTCGACATCGACCTTCTGAACCGTCCCGACATGATCTCGAGCAACTCCACTTTGGCCTTCGCATCTGCGATGTGGTACTGGATGACTCCCCAGAAGCCCAACCCTTCCCCTCACTCGGTCATGGTCGGCGAATGGGAGCCCACCGACGACGACAAGCTCGGATACATTTTACCTGGATTCGGAGCGACCACCAACATTCTGAACGGACAGATCGAATGCGGCCACGGTGAGGACTGGCGTGGACAGGAGAGAATTAGCTTCTACCAAACCTTCGCTGCGTACTTGGGCGTCGAAGATGTGGGTGAGAACCTCGACTGCGGGCTGCAGAAAATGATGCCCTCAGGATACACCGTCATGTAGAGGATTCGGCCCTGGCGGCGGTAATGTCGTGGGAAATCGGGGGGCTCTGAAGGGAATTCTGGTGCATGATCATCACTGCGTCTGTACGTGTGGCTGGCTGGTCGACCTTCAAAGCCCGATGGACGAATGCTCGGAACGAAGGAAAGAAGTAAGGATCGAAGAACACATGAGTGTAAAATCAGATAGATATAAACACACTGTCTTGTATAGATAAGGTTGTGAGAAGGCGCTCGGATCTCGGAGGGCGTAGCTGTCGGTGGCCTGTGATTCTGAACTGATTCGGCGTCTTCTCGAGTCAAGCACCGTGCGAGTATGGAGGATGGAAGGGTACCTGTCCCTACCGAGTCTCATCTACGATTTGTACCTAATTTTCTTGTGAAAAGATTTGTAAGCTAAAGCAACCATCTGCTATGCCAGTGCTGCAATAAGTCTCTCTCCCGGTGGATGCCCATCATTGTAGGAAGGAAAGGCCATCTTTGTCACCGGATGTTCACTGACAGTGCGATAGCTCTGCCGCCCAAGCGTCGGTGATCTGTTGCCTGAACGTCCCATCGTCAGATGTGGAAGTTTCTAGGTCGTACTCTCGCGTATTCCATACACTTCTATGTAAAGCTGATCTCATGCATTATAATCAATTTAAGCGACTTGTATTTTACTCAGCAATGTGAGAGCTGTTGCCTGAGCTAATCTCTCAACCAGATATCCACCCTTCCACCGCGTTCATCGTTTGGGCAAACGATCGAACGGAGGCTACCATGAATGGAAGCAGCAACGTCGGCTAGTGCTCGACTCGAGAGTCAAGTCTCGACGTTCGAGCTGATTCGCACTAGACAGGTGTCTAGTGAAACAAATCGGCTGCTTTTTCCAGAGAGAGCCTGAAAGCAGATCGGAGCCCGTCTAAATGTGATCGGAATCGTGCACCGTGTTGTTGTCCAGACTGTAGCCAGCTGTCAGGGGCGGCTGGATTGTGAAATGTGATTAATGCACGGAGGGGACCCTTTAAAGCACTGCCTTCTTTCCTCTCTCTCAATAATGCTCCGTCTGAAAGGTCTGCTAGAATCTCCAAAGAATCTCTTCGAATATCTGCAGGTCGCCTCTTCCCGCCGTACATTTAATTTACGAATTAGGTCCCTAGTGGCTCCCGAATCACCTCTCTCTGGCAGCAGTGACATGGAGTTAGTGGAGAACAACTTGGAAAGTTCACTCGGCTGACTCCTAATAGATATATCTGCTCGACATATACATAAGCTAAGTGTGAGAGAGGCCCATCACGGAGGAACAGATCTGTGTCGGTTTTAATATAGATCATTGCATATTTCGCTGAGGGTGCTTGTTACCTTGTCTTTTCTATTGGGTATGATCAAGACAATCAAAGAGGTTAAAGACAGTGCCGCGTCGTTGACTGCAGATTTCTCAATATAGAATGGATGGGAAGACCCTAACAAATCGCAGATGAATCCAAACGTGTTAAGTCGGGCTAGGCCTCCATCAACAGCGCGGTTTACTTTCTCATTACCTTGAATCTAACTTATACGGAAAATAATTTCAAACGTGAATAGTTCTGAGGAGAAAGTCTCATCACTACATATTTTGTGGATGAATGTTTAAATACCCAGAGAATGAATTCAACATTCATCGGAATACTTCGTGGCAGCCGAGTAACAATGTTTGACATGTTACGGTGGTGATATATGGGTTTCATAGAAGGTGAAGTCGATATACTGTCGGAGCTGATCTTGTTGTCCGTTGGTTTCGTCCGTTTAAAACTTGATGGGCATTTAAAACTTTAGATCCCTCTAAATTAAGGTATTCCCCGGACTACAATCGCATTTGTTCTATTCACGCAGAGGTCTTTCATTTGTCGGAGCATGAGAAATAGACAAAGTTACTGTTAAGGAATTTAATTTATGATTAAAATGTTGATTAATGTAGGTTAGAACTTGAGATTTTATACCATGTTTTACCAACATATATACTTTTTGAACCGAGTAATGTCACAAAATACCTTAGTAGAGATGCAATTTTTTTCAGATAGAGTAAATCCATTCCATTGGGTATGACATTTGATTTTTTTTAGATATTCGATTTCATATATATACATAATCTTGCTTGATCCTGTAAAGTTCATATATATATATATATATCTATCTATCACTGAGTGGTAATTCATTTGATTGATGCTACTTGATGTTGAATTTTTTTATATTTTACATATTATAAATTCAAAATCCTTATATATATATATATATATATATATATATATATATACACATACATACATATGAAGTATTGAAACTCCCTTCTACTTTTTATTTCCCTCTGACATCCACGATATCTTCCACGTTGGTGTTTAGTATGGGTTAGGCAAGTATTCACTTGATACATGTAATTGAACACTTGTTTGACTTACATAAGCAGTGACGGGAGTCCGGAAAGTCATTCTTAAATTAAAGATAAACTCAGAGAAATTACATTTTGTGATTCTAAAAGCATTTACTTGTAACCATTACAGGTTTTATTTTCCAAAGAGATATATCAAGTTTTCTCCTTTGTGCTCGCTGCAAAATATGTTATAGCTCTGAATCACTAGAGTACGTTCTGATCCTGAGTACCTAGTAGTATTGTCAGCCATCCAAATTCACTACTATCAAGTGTGCATAGGTAAAGGTTTGACGATTGAGACTTACAAGATTTTGGATTCTCGGTCGATTGATAAATGTGTTGCAACCTGTGAATGGCTGATCGAGAATCGTCTCAAAAAATGACATGCTCAATGCAAGTTGATTTCATGAAGATGCAGACTAGATTTGGTAGAGACCCAGCAAGACAATAAAGATAGAGTTTGTCATGATGAGCCACACGAGAAATCTATCCATGGGTCTCATCTCATGTGACCCATGGGGATAAATATAAAGAGGATAAAGTTCATCAGAAAATTAAGTATATATATATATACATAAGAAGCAAATGATCGGGCGGGAAAAACAACACTGAATGCCACAAGTAAATAATAGTCTAGAAAGTCTAGTTACAAGAAAGTCTAGAATGTGGAGCTTGAGATAAAAAAATCCTCCAAGTGTGTTATAAGTACCGGAGTGTGTTAAAAATTGATTTAAGGTAGAATCGGACATATTGAACTGGACTTAAATCAAGAGGGATCGAATTTACTTATATATCATAATACACCTCACTATTTAACCATATGCAATTTATGTAGTATATTGTGACATTAATCTGCACTATGATTGATATTGAATGGCTATTAAGGTAGAATGTTTGAGTAGAAACTAAACATTATGCAGAAATAGTTAACATTGCAAGTGCTGATTCTGTATTTGCATGTGTGATAAAAAAATCTTTACACAAAAATTACACTGTTTGTCACTAAAACAAGTTGTCTTTTCTAATACTTGATTGGTTTATGTTAATTAGAAAAAAACTAGCTAGATTTAACAATATTTGAGTTAGATTTTACCATAATATACCAAGAAAGCTTTGTGTTATATTAATTCTTGATCAACCATTTGTAGTTTAAACAATTCTGGATATTGTTACTTGACCTTTTTGCAGTTTTACTTTTCGACCTTAAGTTTCTCATTATTTGTATATTATACGAATATATATCAATTAGAAGTTGATAAGCGTTTAAAAATTTTCAGTGAAGAATAATGATAATGATGGGAATCATTGAATGAAAATTATAAATGAATGTTAATGTAATAGTAGTAACATGTTAACCTTGTTAGTAGTTAACTCAATTTTATTTAAGCCTAGGTCAGTTTACCTTTAGTTGAATTTTAGATTACGAGAGTCAGCAAGAACTATTAATGACATTTTTAGGTTTTTATTAACAAATTTTTTTGTGTTTTTGTGGACGTAGCACGGAATGGAAAACAGCTGATTTCAGTGATTGCGTTTTGGTTTGTGGTCTCATGGGTTATAGTTTTTATTCTCGTTATCCACCCTAACATACCTATCATTGTGCTTATTGTGAGGAGTTATATTTTCAACTCTAAAATAAATTTTTTTTTCTGGTGATGTCAAATCTGTGGGGTATAAGAGAGTTGTAGAGCATCGTCACACACACGAATTGTTCAACTTTTATATCAACAAATCTCGGCATTTTAATGTCATTTATTGACTCCTAGAATCATTGTGACTTAAAAACACAATTTTTTGCTCTTGCTCCAAATAAGTTGGAAAGATTTAGTTCATAAATTCTTGTAGAATAGAACAAAATAGGCAAAGAAGCCTTTCAAGAAGCGTATTAGAATGCTTCAAAATGATGCAAATCAGTTTCTTTTCCCTTAAAATGAAGTCCTTGGATTGGTGTAAACGCCATGAGTGTTCGTCAATTAGGTTTATACATTGGATGCCTACTTCTTTGCAGCGGTTTTGAAGCATGTGTTCAATAAACATCCACATCTTTTTCGACGCTTCCCATGAAAGGTACGAGGGGATGAAACTTCGTGGCCGAGGCACTGGGACCAGGTTGCGAATACGAGCTCAATGCAGTGCACGGGGATCAAGCCAGCGCCGTATCTGCGTAAAAAAAAGAGGCAAGAAAAAAAGAAAAAAAGAAAAAAAGAACAAAAAAGAGAGAAGGCTCAGAGTTCCCAAATGTCTCTAAATGGTGGCAGACGCGTAAATTAAAACAACTCGAGAATCCCACAGAGGGAGTGCAATACTCGACTCCCTGCCGTCCGTGGATTCCAATGCAAGCACGGGTTTGCGAGGGAGCTCTTCAACACGTCAGAGCACTTCGAACTCGAGAAGTCTGACCTGGCTCGACGGCCGACGCGGACGTGGACACCCGCAGTCGTCCAGGTTCACCGCTCCGCGCAATGAAAGTCTGCCAGCCCACGCCGCGGGAACCGATCGACACTTCGAGAGAATATTCCGGATCGCGGCTGCGCGACCGTCGGATCGGATCGGCTCCAGAGCTTGCGCCGTGCGTTGCAGTCTCTAGGAGCCCCCACCACTACCTCTACCTACCTACGCTAACGGCTACACTGGTGCTGCCGACGGGAGTTATGGCGCGTTGTCCTTCCGACTTATGACCGCGAGAGTGCATCGAACAGCGATGCGCAGAAAGACGAGCAAAACATCGACACGCACTTCTTCACTTTCTTGGTGACAGAACAAAAAGAGACCTGTGCGGTCGGTCCGTGCCGCGTCTGATTTGGGTTGGTGTGTCACGGCGAGGGTAAGAGGCAGTTGCTGGATGATTGTGTGGGAAGAGAAATGCAGCTCGAGGTGAAATCACAGCCAGCGAGAAACAACACAAAGTGTTGAAGCAGAAGAAAAGCCTCACGCGAATATACGAGTATACTTCCATATCTGTACAGTACAAAGATATAGTCAAGTGCCGAACCCAATTTGTAACTAGGGGCTATCTGTCCGATGCTCCAGCCTGCGACTGGGACTCATCAAGATGACTGGAAAGCTGAATGACATTTAACCGAGTCGTAGGCGATAGATAGAAGGACCATCCATCGTAGGAAGATAGATAGAAGTTGACATGATCGAACATATCTCACATAAGCCAAGCCACCAAAGCAAAAACGAAATTCCAACTCTCGGTAACAAGACTATGGTCGAGCACCCTCCACTGCAGCCTTCACTCTGATTCTGACGAGGGATGCAGTCTCTCTAGCAGTGAGTCATTTTCTCTGCGTCTCTTTCAGTGGTTTCCACACAGGTGAGCAGAGTCTGCACAACCGGAAGCGTTCTGGTTTTCTGTTCGGGCGTGTTTTTGATTCTAGTTACATGAGCTCTGCAGCATGGACACTGGCCATGCTTTGAAAGCCAAGGAGTCAAGCACTGAGGGTGGAATGCGTGGCTGCATAAGAGGACTATGGTCGTTTCTCCAGCCAGCAGCCCCTCCAAGCACACTGGGCACTCATCGCCGACCTTGCCACATACTACTGCTTCCCTAGGCAAGGCGTTGATCACAGTCGTGGTCAGGCCTGCAACTTGCTCTTGCACTTGTCCTTGCCCTTGCCTTTGCCTTTGCCTTTGCCTTTGTGACGAAGTCGTTGTAGATGAGCGATTTGTACTGCGGAAGTCCAGTAGGTTCAAACACTGCTTTACTGACAAAGCACATGTTGCCAGCCAATCGATCAGTCTGGAATTTCTGCTACTCTCGTCACGCCAAAAATTGCCTTCCAAGTGTATCAAACGTGCGGTGTGCGAGGATTGGGGCTGGTGCTGATGCTGATGGCCTCTTGCAGCCAAATTACGCCCGCTGCTGCTGCTGCTGCTGAGGCCGATGCTTTGCGTTGGCGGAGCAACTGGCTGCAGGCGCTCGTCCAGTCGATTTCTTGCCTCCATCGCAAGGTCGCCAGGGCCAGTGGGATGGTGTCTCCGCCGGAATGATGTTGATCTTGCTCCTGACCGATGCTCCTCTCTCGATCGATGGATGTCGGTAATGCTGTCTGCGATATTTGAACTGTTTGAGCTCACGACGATCGATCCAGATGAACTGTCTGCCGAAGTGTCTTGAGGTCGGAGATGATACTGGGAATTGGCGAGTCTAAGGTGATGCGGGTGATAATGATGGTGAGCTCCAGCCACAGCCAAACGCGATCTGTGCGTCTCGGAGCGGCGCACTCCTCCCTCGTAAGCACCATCTCGCCCTTGTCCAGCTCGAACTCGGCGCCTTCTCGCCACCTCCACACCAGGTAACATCGTCCTTGCGGCCCAACAGACTGAGAGACGTGATTTCTGAGCTGCTCAATTACGAGGCTCAGTTTGCTCCCTGCTCTAGAGAGCTTCGGAATGACAGTCTCACGGACGACTGCCAAGAATCACAAGACAGGAACCGAAAGCACGACGAACTGTCTTCTAACACAACGTTGAGCGAAGAGAGTTAATCACCATGACAATCTCTCTTACTTCAGATTTTTCCGAGCCTGACTACTGAAGTTATACACATAACAGAACTCTAAACGTCAAAGCGTTTTTGTAATCTGCACTTGCACTCTGATCCAGTTTGTAGCTGGTGATCTCACTCTGGATTCCAAAGCTCCCACTGGAAATTTTTTCTGCCTTTAATGGCAGGATTGGGCTGCACCCTGATGCACACAAAGGTGAGGACGGCTACCACAAGCATTGAGGCGATTCTCGCTATGTGAAGTGCGCGCAGGCAAGGTACGGGACATGTAGTTAAGGACATCGCCATCAAGGTCTTCGTGTTCAGGGAGCGGATCCGACCAGAGCCATCATGATTATGGTGTTTGAATCCAGTCATTTTCATCCCATACTGTGTGGAATCGAACTTTAATTCGCTCTCTGTAAAGTGAGACACTGAGACAGAGGGCCATCGGATTTGGGCCAGCCTGAAAAGAGATTCATGGCAGACCCTGAAAAAATAATATTTTCTGGTCTGCCTGCCGAAAGCCAGGGCACCCGATAAGGTGGGCCAAGATGCACATGGAACTTTTTGCTTGTTGCACTTCAGGGAGTCATAAGATGGTGGCGCTCACAACCGGATTCCTGTGCAATCATGCTCTAAACCTCGGACACCTTTTCCCGACTACTAGTGTGAAAGTAAATCCGTACTTTTCTCGCTCGCAGCTGATGAGGTACGTCTCCGAACTCCTTCCCCGTTGCCTGATCTGCTCGTCGCGCACAGATGTCTGTCGCTCCTCCAACCGATTCCAATAGTTCAGTGTACAGGAGCTGCTGCAGGAGGGAGGGAGGGAGGGAGGGGAGGGGAGAAGGTGCTCAGAGATTTCGGCAGTTTTCGGTCAAAGCTCCTCGTTGAACGAGCATAAAAAATCGCGCAGGAGCTTCACGGAACTGAGCCGGGGCCCCGTGGGCTCTTTTCGAGGGGGCCCGTAGCTGCTCGCCATGACACAGTGGTCGGACGAGGGTGGAGGCACGGTCTCGAGCTCGTCGTACTGTTCCGACTTTGTTGTCTGCATCACCATGACTTCACAGCTCCAGCTCCAGCTCCCGCGTTCAGTTCCAACATGATTCCCTTCCAAAAGCTGGACGGGCCCTTTGTTCTTCTGAGGACGAGGATTGGATTTTCGGTTCACGTGCTGCGCCATTGCCTCCCTTACGCTCACCGCACACTCGCACACGCAGAATATTTCGACCCCTCTCATCATTGCGCTTCTCCCTTTCCTCAGGCTCGAATTTTCCTTTTTTTTTTATGAGCTTTACGTTGAATATACCGTCCTCAATAAAATATATCTCTTCCATTTCCTCGGCCAGTCCGATTCATGTTTATGTAGTATGAATATAACAAAGACATGCACTTGTTGGTATGCATTGCTAACAGGCCGTTTCAGGCTTTTGCAAGTGACGAGTAAATAATGCCTTTTTTCCATTTTATGTCAAAATTGATTTTTTTCTCATGCATCACGTATTTCTCGTTTGTGTTTCTAACAATTATATGCTAACTATAAAATTGAAATTTTCGTAATTTTTTGGGGCAAATATATAGCTTTTCGATGCTGTTGCTTGCGCAGCTTGTTAGTTGAGTGTCTAGTGCGTTCGAATTCACACTATAGCAGATATGGATTTCATTATCTTTTCTTCCCATTTTCTGATCCCTGATAACTTTGTCTTCTTCTTCTCTTGAATTTGCACCGTACGGGGCCTGGGGCCTGGGGCCTGGGGTCTAATTTCCTCAGCCTTTGGACAGCTGCGAAATGACAATGAACATTTCAAAAGCTCGAATTCGAACGTCAGATTACAGCAATGGACGGCTCAAATTAAGGAATCTCTTTGAATCCTGAAATGTAAAGTGAAGTGTTTCAGTTCCTTTGCTTTTTTATTCCATTAATGCCAAGACTATTTACCTACCGCCATCTGCGCTCTTGTATGATGACTGTTGTTTGCAGATTCTTACGCTACACGAAATTTTTTGCCTGCTTCCATGTAAGGCTCGAAGAATCATTTTCACTATTTCTGTCACCACATGCAACAACCCTACAAGCTTGCATAGTCCCTCGTTCAAACCTCTTGTATCACCAGGAAACACCAACACATCTTCGCTGCACTAACGAAGTGGGCCCTTCCCTTTCTAAAAGTATTTGTTCACCTGATTATGAACATTTGAGTAGTGTGACTTACATTTTCCACATAGATAAGATCTACCTTTCATGAAATGGCGTTATCCTCATATCACTTAATAATTGAACTCCGTTTCTTCGTTACAATTTGGAAAAAGGAGGGGATGTCAATCGAGTGTCACAAAAGCGCGTAGAATAAACTTGAGTTTTAATGCAATATTGTATATTTCATGCAATACTTTGGAATAATCTTTTCTACCAGTCAGCTTCACAAGCTTTATTGATTGAGCCATTTTATCATGTTTCCATGCATGGTAGAGATAATATATATCACAATAATTTACTAACTTATAGTTGCCCTCACAAGGATTGATTCATGACTTGCCGTTCACAAACATCATGCAATGCTCTGTATGCAATCTCAGTACTGTAAATCATATAAATTTAAAGTCATATCCATAATGAAGAGAAACAACTTATTTTGTAATCGTTATTCAAAATATATGACTTGCAACATGATACAAATTTTAGAATTTATATGAATTCATGTTATTATTAATAAATTCATGGTGAAGTTAAAAAGAAATTCAAACTCCTGAGTTTGATCATATTTGATTATTACAGTTTCTCACTGTGATATGTAGTTTCATAGCAATGTACTTTATCTAATCTGATTGTGATTCAATCATTTTGAATTATGCTGAGTAAATCTCACATCTATTAAAAATAAATATTTTGTTAAAAAAAATTATTTTCTGAATGTATTGCATCCTGCATGATCTTTCTTATTACCCGTCTATATTATAAATTCAGATTCTTCTCGTTGAATCCACCTTATTACATGCATATTTATTTGTAGAATATAGATGAATATATAAATCTAATAAATTATATAATTTCTATAGAATTATCTATCAATATAAACATATTCAGTCATATGTGATTTTCAATCCTTGATAACTGTGAATATTCTTATTACTTAATCTTCATGTATTACATTTTTATTGAAGAACAGAGTATAATATTCAATAAACGTGATATTCATCATTTTTAGGGTCAAAAGAGTGAAAATTACCTGCATAATATTGAAATGAAAGTTCCCCTTAAATATATAGGAGCTATTTACATTTTTACGCTTTAGTAAATTTTTGAAAGATAATCAACGTGTCTTTGTTGTTTTGCGACCGACACAATAACAGAGTATAGTTTGAAATCAATGTTAAAATTGAAAAAATTTCGAAATTTGATTTAACGTGGAGAAAACGGACTAAAATTAATAAAAAAGAATTTAAAAGATTCAATTTTCCAATGTCCAATTCTTACTAGATAACGAGCTAATGAATCTCCTTCTTTTTGCCATTGAAATTTCCAGTCTAAAAATTCGACCTCTTTGGGAGATGAAGTGGAAAAGAAAATTCTGTGAAATAATCAGATCGAAAAAAATTCTGAAGGCAAAAACTCGGGAAATAGTTGCGCGGGGCAACTCTGACATGAGATTCATATCATGTAACAAGGACGCTTGTTTTGTACACGATAGCGATGAGGAGCTGGCAAAGGAGATTGCGCCAGAGGGACGAAAGCGATGGCGGTTAATGGTCAAAAGGTCGGCGCAAATGGCCTTCTGAGATCTGGAGCAAAGACAGAAGTTCCAAACTGGAGATCTGAAAGGATTGGGGACTCTGTATGTCATAACATATCGAGGGACCTACAAATATCTCCATGTCCCTAGCATAACCATGGTTATCAGTTCTCTCATCATCACTGTCGTCTCCAACAACAAAGTCCTCGTTACATGGTTTGGATTCCATGTCAGAGTTGGAACCACGAAATACTTCAATTAATCTTGACAATCCAATTTAATCTTTTCTGTAATATGCTGCTAATTATTTAATTCCTTGCTTATTACCTACTTTTCTTTCTGGACCACACTCTCTGCGTTAGTGGATATGCCACCACCACACTCGGTAGGGGAGTACGTGACTCAGCATTACTGTGTTTATAAAACCTGCAGAGATTTAAGATTTAGCACACAGTTGAGTGTCTCCGTTTAATTATTACAATTCTCAATGCGACTATATAATAAACATAACATGCAAAACGCTTAGTACCAAAAGATGTGAAAATCAGCCTATCCAATTAGAACATTCTCACCAACTCATATGCAACGGGCGTAGTCCAGTAACCATTTGGCATACTTTCAAACGAATTAGTAAATTGGAACGACGCTAAAAAAAATAATGTACACATTGATTTTATCTTAGGAATCTTCTATGATAGTAATATATGCATTGTAAAATTTAGACTTTACTATGCTCATAAAGGATTCTATTTAGAGAAAAAACTGGAATGTTAAATCTAAATTTCAATATGTAATAATTCATTTGATCAATGCTAATAATCTAAATACTCAACAGATTGGGTTCATATCAGAAAGGGCAGAATATAACGTTCATATATTATATTTCCCATGAAGTGAACTTCACTTCAGAAGATATTTTCTCTAGCATCGACAATGCTACTCCTGGAACACGAGTAAAAAGTATATTCCAGGACCAGCCCCTTCTTACAAGAACTGGATCCCTAGCGTTTTGACCTGTAGCAGAAGAAAACAACAAGCACAAAGGACCATGGCTGGCTGGCTGGAGTTTTCAGTTTCTGGAATAATGACTTTCGGCACATGCATGATTATGAAGAGGATACTTTACGTTACGACCCAGCAGACTTTACAGTAATCTTTGTCGGGAATGGCTGACTCAATATTGAAAGCGGTCGACTTCAGGTCCACTCATGAATTCAGTTGTTTGTCTCATAACTTCTACCAATTTCGCTACCCGTGTTTGAAGTGTCAGTTTTCCATGAATCCTGGTGCTAACTGCTCACTTAGATATGTTTTCACGTACAGCTCGGGTCCATAAACAAACACGTCGAGGATTCTTGGTGGAAATGTCATGAATATCGAGATTCATTAGTTATAATAGAATTAAACATATTACATCAAATGGAACTTTCACACCCACTTGCTTACCTCAACAACAGTTGTATGATTGGGAATGGCGTCACAGTTTATGTCAAATACAGTAAAAGCTTGAAACGTCTTTGACGTCAGATAAATCACGTAAGCGATATCGCATGTATACAGATCGATATTGAAAATCGGTCTAGGTTATTTACGTTGTTCTAATGATAAGATGGCCTTTATAAACATGAAGACTCTCTAGTTCACAACGCTAATTCAGTTGAGAGTCAGTTCAAAGATGGTGTCTTCATATATTTTTTGAAATTTGTTTGACGAGGATAGGTGACGGCACCGTAATTTGTCAGGACAAATCAAGATGCAAGTAATGGAGACTAAGAGATTTAGCTCGTTTTCCATTACGTATGCAATTAATCATCGTATGCAATTAATCATACCTGCAGGAGGTACCATACAATGGTAAAGAGAGTAATCTTCGTTATAAGTTTTATGCTATCTGCAATATACTTACTTGATATATTCAGCTGCTCTTGGGTTGCATGTTACAAGAGTTAGAACAGAAGGTTCAATTTTATCCGCGCTAATATATTCCTTTCCAACTGAGAACTAGTAACAATCCTTGAGAGTTACTTTGATCTAAATACATAGACACATAATGAGAAGTTGAATAAATGACTGAGTATGAAAAAAACAGCTGCTTCTCATTCAGTTGCAGCCATAGACATTGTCCTGAGTCAATAGCCTTGTGTGTAGCTTTTCTCGTCAACAATCCACCTCTCATATGCAACTTTTTTTTCTAGATTTGGGTAAGAGCTTCATGATAGTAATCCGAGAGAAGACAAACACTCAAAAAGAAAGGGTCAATTGCGAACCAGAATGCTCTTTTTTTTTATATACATGCTCCATGCAAAAAACAAAAATTAAGAGTCTTCATGTGCAACTAAATAGTCGGCTTTCCCTCAGGCTCCATCTTTAAAGCATTAGATACCCATCTCCTCAATGCTCACAACAAACCTAACTTCACCGTTTGCTGATCTATTTTCAAGACTAGAATTATTCCAGACCTACTGTCACAAAAGACAATTTTCATCTCAGTTGAAGCCAATCTTGTGCATGATAAGCTGAAAGTTTTGTCCCCCTAAACAGTAGCTATGAAGCTAAATGGCAAAAATCCTATTCACTATAGTAGGTCTCCTTGATTGTTAGAGTCATGTTAACCACTACTATATATATACATATATATTTTATGTAGTAAAAGATGAGGCAAGATCACATGTTTATATGTTGAAATATTATAGTAATATCTTCTTCCATCATAATAGTAATGTCACGTCTATGCAAAAACAATGAACCTCATATGCGTGTTTATTTTCATGAAAAATGCGTGTTTTGCACTTTCATATAATGATAATTCCTATTTATCATGATTTGGAATCAGATTTCTTCCTGAATATAGAAAATAACGTTATGAAAAGACAAAGACAAGATAATTGTCATGCAGTACAAAACTAAATATTTAAAGTAACTCCAAATTTTTTTGGGGATATGTTATACGGTAGATGTATAACGCCATGCACAATAATGACATTATGAGCAACAGGATTTAAAAACTGACCGTGATTTTGCTAGATTTTAATTTCTGGGCTCAAAAAGAAAAGGTGGAAGGTAAAACAGGCATGCATTTTTCAACAATTTTTTTGTTACAAATAATTATCACGCTAGGTGCATATTTATATACAACTATTAAAGTCGATAGAAAAATAAAAAGAGTATGCAATATATATGTTCATTTTCTTATCACACGAGATATGAAAAACCTTACGTAACTTGGATTCTGACATATACATTTCATACATACAACTTCTTAACTTCAAGTAACCTATATGTCTAAGTAACTTACTTCCATGTCATGATTTTATCTACAGTCTTGAATGGTAACTAAAGTGAGAGATTTAAAGCTAACAATCTTTCTAATCTTTTATAGAAAACCAAAGATAGAAAAAACAACTGCATTACAATAAAAATCAGTGACTGTAATGTATGATGTAATGATAGAATAATTGAAGCATTATTCTACATTGTTAGAAAAATATAAACTGTAGAAGTATGTAAATATAAGTTACTACTTAAAGCATACTACTTAAGTAAGATTCTTCTTATCAAGCATTGCCAATAGCGTAGAAAGGACAATAACGAACATTATATTTGTAATTATCTCATAACCTTTAGAGCATTATGTGCAGTAAGTTCAGAATGACTTTCACGTTCTAGGAAATGTATGTACATTGAAGGTCTAAGTTTCAATGATTCATGAATTGCGTATTGGATATTGGTTAGATAATTAGAGTTTGTACCTTGAAAAAATATATGTGAAGAAATTATGATAAGCTTTCTACTTAATCGTGTACATGTTAAAACGAAGTTTTGAATCGGTACATGGGAAATTTCGATTTAAGATGTTCTGCCCAAGAGTCTTGTGGAGGAAAAGATTTTATACAGTCCAATTGTCAAATTTCTATATAAAAAAAAAAGCAATATAGAATTCACACATTTGACTAAATAATTCTGAGTCAAATGCTTCCATTTTCCAAGAGTTCTCGCTCTTTGTTTCTGCTCTACTTTCTTCTCTACAAGTATATAATGACTGATTTCCCCTGTGAATTATTAAAGATTCCGTGTCGGTTTTAAGTTACAAATATGTTTCAATTTTAGTTTAAGTAAAATTCATATATTTAATACTAAATCTATTTGCTAAAACCTTCATAAAAAAACTAGGAGAAGACCCCTAGATAAATATTCCTTCATCACATTTAAAATTTAAAATTTTTTCAATTTTTCCTTGTTTATTTTAGAAACATTTATTTTGGTCATATTTGTCAAACTTCGCTCTCTCATTCTTATTTCTTCTCTTCAAAATTTTCTTTAATCTGCTTGTGGCCTTCTTATGGCCCCTCTAATGCTTCGTCTCAATGAATGGAAGTTCACTTGGCTCCTGCAGCTGTAAGCTATCACTTGATCACTCTATGTAAGGAAGTATCACTTCATGTATACAGAACAAGGGGGTTTCAGACACCGAAATTTGAGGTGCACATATGATATAATTATAACTACAACTCACTGTAATATAATTACAAATAGGAGATGTCTTTCCATCTTCGAGATGGAAATACATTTCAAAATTTTGCGAGACAGAAGATGAGAATGTGTAATAATTTTTTTTATTCATGATAAAATTCAGCAAATCCAGTTTCATTTTTTCGAGAGTGCTATGTAGGACGCGAAACTAGCAGGGACACATCCACTAGTCTACTCCCGAGCTGAAAGCTGTGCATATTGATAAATATCTCAATGCATACTTATAGAAATGGCTATCATAAGGAGCAGGATTATATTCCAAACGACAGTTTTCTAGGTGAACTCCATTTACAATGTAGCATACAAGTTATGAAAAAAAAATTTGGCACACATTTTCCAATACATAGATATAAAGTGATTTTTTATTTTAAATTTCAAGGCTTCCTAAAAATTTCCTGAATAATGTTGTATCTCATGTATATTTGATAGAAGAAAATCCATAATATAAAAAATAATTACTAAAATCCTACCTTACATTATAACCTTATTATACTTCATTTGATTCTGACATATACACTCCACTTAGAAGTTTGACTAACTTGAGCCCCTAATAACGACATGTTCCACGAAGTAGCAGCCACTTGAATCATGTAGAGTGGTTTCAAAGCATGAGCATACTCAGGCACAATTGAAGAAGACAAAATTTGATCGAAATGTTCAATTGATCCATACATGTGATCAACTTCTGGATACAATGAGCTGATCTTCTTGTTAATTCACTGTCAGAGACCCTTCATATTTCATTACTTTCGAAGTTGGAAAACTCCATAAACACTTACATTACATCCTGGAATTATGTTGCTATATCACAAATGTTCTCCTTGTACAATGTCGACTCATCATCCAGACTTGATCTGCAAGGGTGAATGGGTTCAGTATAAATGATTCTAGTACAACGAGTCAAGGCTCGGTATCTGCGTTTTGAGTAATACTGATGACTGCATGGAATTCAGAAACCTTAAAGTCTGCATGTACCACCGGCGGCTATTCTGCACAATCACCCCTTGCGCCTCATGCTGGAGCTTATAATGACGCTACTTTCTCATTCTCTTCGGTCTTTGGACCTTCTTCAACGTGAGTAGAGAAATGTTGCACATTTGGGAATGCTCACGAATCGGTGTATGAGTTCCTAATCCTCAATATGCAGCAAACAAAGCGCAATGCACCGAAGCAGTTCCACCAAAGCTAGACAAGCTTTCTAAAATATGAGGCAGTAGCGACATACATGGAGCGTTAGCCCACTTTAATTCCGCGACCTCACTTTCAGGGAAAAACTGTTGAGTGTTTATAAATCTGCCGTCGGAATTGACCTGTCACCAAAGCACTGTATTGAGAAATTACGATTTCGAACTAGCAACAGTGACAACGTGTTGAATACGAGCTTTTGTCAGAAAGTTTTGTTCCGCTGTTGGTCGAGGAATTGGTAGGGTCAAACTCTTTCTGATCAAACCATGGAATGTGGTTTCATTCAAACCTCAAGGTGTCAAGCAATTCAGGCAGTATATAAAGCACTTGAGCAGCTCATATGCACAAATAACCTCGGTATCTCAGAACTCCACAGGAGCCTACGATAAACACTTGCACACAACAGCATTTCTGAAAAGGCATTCTAAGACTTGATTAGACGAGTGACAAATTAATCCCCATTTTCATCAAATCTTCAGAAAGAGTGTCCACCTGTAATTCTGGACGCTGAATAGCTGATTCAGTTCTTTGTTTCGAAGAGAGTATCTCATCGTTTTGCTCCATGGCTGACCACAATGATTTCTTCGGCGATGACGATTCCCCTCCGTGGCTGACTGCAAACCAAGAACCTGACATTGAGCAGAACGATCTGAATGCCTTTTTCCTGACTGCAGGAGTAACAGGTGTGCCTGCTCCTTACACCACTGAAAGACCGACGCTCACAGATACAGCAATGTTGAGGCTGCATGGGAGCGCGAGCACTTTCAGTGGCTAGACAATCAATCACATATCTTTATTACCCACTCCACTCAAAGAGGTCAGGACTCCCTCGTGTGGCGATCATGGTGATTGAATGACAACGATGGCGCTCTGCCTGGGCTTCTTCTCGACTTTCTCCAATTTTCTGCTGCCCCAGAAGCCAAAAGCTAAATTCTTTCGAACATCATACTCAAGCGAGGGACTGGTTAAACATGCACACGAGGTCGCCATGTGTGCATCTTGTAACCGAGGTTGGGCATTATTACATGGTTATAAGGTAGCAGTTACCGCAGGACAGATTACAGTTTATCCTCAGTGGAACAGGTCCTCTGCGGACTCTTGTGAAGCCTTCAGCTGGGGATCAGAATATTTGCCTCCCTTACCATAAAATGCTCATCAGCAGCAAACACCACTTTCAACCACAGGTCCTTAAGATATCGCACCTTTGAGCTGTTTTACGATGGGGTTCCAGAACTCCAGGTCTACCATGTATTGAAGGCATAGGGTAATAATAGATTGAAAGATTCTGTAAGAAAGACGGTGATCTGGACTCCAGCAGTATACCGCAACCAAGGTTTATACCTTTGTACACGTCCACATTAATAATCATCTTCTTCTTACTTCCAAACATTTATTGATGCTTGAATGACAATTTGGTCTTTAATGCGCCACAGACTCTGTAGCCCAGTATGACATGATTTGCACTAACATGGCCGTTCGCAGTAGTATATTATGAACCCTTTGCCGAGAGAGGACTGACGCTCAGGGGGCATGCATAACTTATATAATACCTCTGAACTTCAGGCACATGAATCTACCACGGACAGGCGGGCAAGTGTGAATTCGGAAGTGGATATGATTCGGTAGAATGCACAAGGGCTGTGTCCTAGAACTTAGACAATTGCAAATGGATTCTAATTCTAGATGTTAGTTTTCTATATTCAACATCTTCTCAGAATTTACTTCACCGTGTTGTTGATGTTGTCATCCATGAATAATGAATAAATACTTGTACAAGTTTACTTTGAAAATTAGTAGCAGTAGACCATACTAAATTTTCATGAAGATTTTTCGTATTTTTTTCTTTCTAAAATCACAACTCCTTCATGTTGAGCTTCGCAGAGCACGTGTGGCATTTATTTCAACATTGAAAGGACATAAATTGCATTTTTTTGGATCGAGATGAGAGATGACCATGCTATACATGGTCAGAGGGTAACTATGGTTGTTCATCGCTATGCTTCATGAGACCTCAGGCTAGTGGACGTATAATACAATACCTCACGGCAAGTAACATAAGTACTGAATTCTATATTTAACTCAAGGTAAATGCTGCTCAAGTAGTAGATCTGTTCTTCTGAAATAAACTCGATAGAAAATGCTCACCAACTAACGTTTCCATGTAGATACTACTTGTCAACAAATTTATCGTGTATTTTATGTACAAGCCGCTACATGTAGCCTCATGTGTAAAATTCACGTCGGCGATGATTACGTATGAGCATCCATTGTTAGACAATTCAATCCATAGTGTTATAAATTTGGAATAGAAATTGATATTTGGAGAAAATAAGGCCCGAAGAATGAGACCAGGATGAGTTGTATACGGATGACTGGATGACTCATGGCGGAGATAGAGCAGTCAGTATTGGGGAAGGACTCGGTGCAGGAAGCGAGGCGAAGGCTGAGTGTGCAAGAAATCAGAGAGAGTTAGTCTAAAAGCGTGAAAGTAAAAGGAGGCTGCTCGGTCCCTATCCCTATGCCAAGATCTCACGAGAAGGCAATGATGAAGGAGAGCCGATTATCTTCAGTGGTATAATTGTCGCAACAATGTGGAGAATGCCATGGTGTTGGTTGTGAGGCAGATTAACAAGTCGAAAATTAAGTACATTAAGTGATGTAACCCAATTTAGGACAGAGTTATGGATTTGATCTCAAAGAGGGAGATAATGATAACCCCAATATCACAATTAAGGTCTTTCCTCATCATAATATAAGAAGAATTGATCTTCTTAGATTCTTCAATCATTTGCTCCCCAACATACAGTGTTCTAGTGACGGAATTATCTTGGCTCGTGGGACATGACACACTGGTAATACTTCTTACGTGGTACATACATTGAGCTTATGGGTGGACAAATTTTCTTGACTTCCCGTTTCAAAACCGTGAATTTCATTGTTCCTATCAAATTTGCGGGTTTGGTCCGTAAACTTCGTTTCGATTTGCCGATTCGTTCATTGAATTCTTGCCAGTTTGCTAATCACATGTCAGAGTTGGAGCAAGCAGAAATCTGTCCGTGGATATATATATATATATATATATACGAATAAGAAGCCATTTCTGCCTGAATTTAGTCTTGAGTATTGACGACATGGTGAGTGGTGCCAAGAAGCTTTGGATCGTTGTCAGCAGAATAGTAACGAGATATTTGTGAATTCCAGGTGTTCTGGTGTAGCTCATCGAGAGAAAAGCGCGTTTGGTCTTTTTTGTGCACGCTGTTCCGCATCTTATGCACTTGTGGAATGAAGAACGCATGTTTATGAACATTCGACTGCTATCAATTTCCTGCATTTTGAATCACCCACAACTCTTTGTCTTCTTAGGCATGCAGCCCCGTGACAAATAGAAAAATTGCATCCTTCGACTGACGGTAAGAATTGCGTCATAGTGTAGGAACAAAGTAGAAATAAAATCGCAAAACGGATGAGAATATCCGTGGCTAGAGTTACTCGGCTTATAACAACATTCATTATCAGATATTCAAGCTCTATCGAACAAGAGCATGAATATCTTGTTTGATAGCTGACATTAATCCCCTACCTGCATCAGGATTGATTACACTTTATCTTCGAAATTATATTAACTGTATCAAATTCATGAAGAATGAAATTCTAAATGGATTTTTCATGTTGTGATAGAAACCGAAATTATTCCAAAGGGTATGAGTGCTAGAAAAGTAGAAACAAAAATGAAAGCGAATTATGAGATATGGCTAAAACGAAACAAATCAAGATCTTTACTTCTCATTTTGTACCCCAACATCCCTACGAAGTATGCATAGTCGAGCCAAGAGACAACAATTTTCAGCAAAGACAGAAGAAGATGATAGATGAACTCGAGTAAAATGAGTATCGATCAATTTATTAAAACTGAATATAAATCATGCTCAAATTTTTAGTATTTGAAACTACATTCTAGATCGAATCAATCCATGAGTAAAGATGAAGAAAGAAGAAGATCTTATGTCATATTTTGAGGATAAAATATCTCTCGTATGCCATCACAATGTTTGTAGAAAAAGATCATATACCTCATATACATCTCAATGATTTAATTACTTGTAATTATAAAGTGGAAATAGAAAAAAGGTTATGAGAGTATATTCTAGCCAAATATGCTTTAAATGATGTTTTATCATCAATATGAGAGCTCATTTACATAGGGTCAAATGCATGTTTGTCTTTGCGCCAAACCTTCATGATTTCACGATCAAGCAGGCGTTCCCTTCAGATGTTACTGGTTCTGGGTTGTACGTTAATGTGGCCATGCTCACAGAGCCCTTCATAAGTTGTACTGCATATTATAACTCGGAGATAGTGAATAATTAAGCCGTGAGATGTTAATTGTATGTATTGACTTCACTTACAGCGTTGTCGAGATGGATATAATTTCTTACGCTTTTGTAAGGGAGAAAAGAAGAAATTGCACTAAAACGAACTCGTAGTATGCAAATAGTTTGGAAATAGTTTTCAACCAGCAATTGACGCGTCTCTCGGTTTCACCTCACTAACTGCGTCATTGCCCCACGCGCAAAGATGGTATGACGTGATGGTTCATCTCTGTTCGTATTCGTGATAATTTCAGCTATTTTATTAGCCATCTTTGCAGCGGTGCTCGCGATGAACTTCATTGATCACATTCAATACTAAGGATCAGTAAACAATTATAGTGATTGTTAATATTGTGTCATTTTTGTCATGCAGACAATTTTCTGTTTGAATGTTGATGGGCAAGCTTTCTTGAAGATAGCCTAATGCTGTGACCATGATATCTTCGTCCAACTGGGTAGAATTCGACTGTACTCACACAAATGCTATCCAATCTATCTGATCAAGCATCTTTTGTGCATCTGTACTGGCAGATAATGTAAATAACAGCCCGATATTCCATGTCCTTGTTAGATCTCCTATGAACAACGGAAATCTAACAAGGAACAAACACATGGAGAGAGACAGAGGGACGAAGACTGTGCAGAGCTGGTGACTGGACATGAAAGTGGGCAAAGCCTCATGCTACTCCCGCATTCTCGTAGTTCACTTCATCTCATACTCTCACCTTTGGTTCTTACAGCTGAGTCATTGCTACCTTGAAAACTATCAAATTCGAGCATCTTCCTGACAGAGTTTACAGTGTGCAGTGCATCGTGGAAGTGAATGGCAATATCTTGGAATATCTCAAGCGACAACCGATCTAAACCGTAGCTCAAATAAGGCAGCCACGATAGAGATTACATTCACCAAGTTTCCTGCAACCATGCAGCAACAGAATTTGATATTATGACTCACTACTATCCCTCATTTCACTCTTTGATGAATTGCATATATAATGCAAGTCCACTTGCACGCAGTTTCAGTTTCATTATAAAGATTTAACCCCACATGTGTAATTAGTTTGCTGTACTGATCGTGCACAAAGAAGAACTAAATCTTTATCGTACAAAGTTGTAGTTTTTGTTGGACAATCGCAAAAATGCACATAGATTTCTCTGCTGATCACCATGTTCCTGGAGGAAACACACACTAACTTCTCACCTGTTCTTTCTCAAGCCCAGCAAGCTTCTCATGGAGCACAACAATCGGATAACCTACTTTTATTATGGAACTGTGGAATCCGCATTGTTCAGTGTGGCTGCTGCTGTCATTTCCAAATTTCGGATTGTACATGAATTCTGTTCTCGGTTTTGGATCGGGGTCTCACGTGTTACAGCTTGAGGTTGGAAGTCTTTTCGTTTACTGAGGAAAAGAGACTTTGTTTACATTGTGACATGTCTTGAGTTGATTGGGAGGTTCATATCATTTTTTCTTCACTGTCCACTTCACATAAACAAGAGGAGGAACTTTTCAGAGCTCTGATGATACTTTGAAT